AGTACCGGTATATGAACTAGATCACACTTAAACTATTTGAGACACCTCTCATTTCATTTTGTTCCTTTTGCTTCAGGTTCACAGCCTTACAATGTTGCCTGTATTATGGATACTGTTTTATGGACAGTGAAAATCGACCAGAGAAAAACAATCTTTTATTGATCAACACAGGGGAAGAAGACTATTGATAATTTGTATGATATCATTGTACATATATTTTTATTAATATTTTATTATACATAAAAACATAAATAATTATTATGGTTTTTTAATGCCATGGGAAATTCAGAATCTTTTATTTTTAATCCCATACCTAATTTAAATATAAGTTTATTTTGTTTCTTTTCATTGAAATTTTGAAACTGTTGAGCATTCATAATGTTACCTGAAAGTGACTGAGTTCAATGTATAAATATTTAATTCAATCCCTTGGGAAAATTTTATTTGTTTTTTCATTTATATTTGTACTGTGTACATATACACAAGATGGTGTTCTCAATTATTTTTTTGATTAGACATACTCCAGACTGCTAAATATACACATAATTAATTTTAAAAATTTGAATTTAACCTACCTGTGTGTGAAATTTTTGAAACTGAATAGACTAATTAATGTGTGGAAAAACAAAAGAGCAAGTAAATCTTCATTTTATGATTTTTATCTTACAATTTACTGTACAGTAGTGTAATACTTTTATTTTGAATCCTTAATACTTAATACATCTATTAAAAGAATTGTTAATAAATTAATATAATGGAAATATATATATATTTAAATTTTTGATGAAACGGTTTAAATTGAAATACTTTTGGTTTCAAAGACCACTTAAAGGGTTGCCATCTTTTGTTATAAATACTTTTCATTTCATCATGATATTTACCTTTTCTTTTAGAAATGTATCATGACCAGTGAATATTTGAATGTACCGTACCGGTATCTATTTTGAGATTATCCTAATTTTTATTTTAACATGTGCTTATTATTTTTAAGGATTTCTTATCAGTATCATTATGAGAATAGACTTTTCAAAAGAGGATGATAATAATATGATGAGCATTTATTTAAGTCATGTAAGAGTTTGTCATGCCACATTCCTCTAAATAAATGTATACTATAACATCTTCAAAAAATGAAATAGTTGTAAAAACTTGTATAGTTCAAATGATACAGTTCGTCTATAGACCATGACCATTCTGCTTGTTGCCGGGGCTGAATCTGTCTGTGGATGATCAGTCAAATTGTGGCACGAAAAGTTCTGGTGCAGGGGATGGATGGGGTGACTCTAGGTACATGGTTAACTCAAGAATTACTGACCTGTCTTTTATGTTCAGCAACAGCTTTTCTAACAGCCTCATGTTGCATTGAGCCCTTGTGTAAGGAAGAGCACTACAAGTCTGGATTTTTTGAAGACTGTTACATGTCTGAGTCAAAGTGAAAGTGCAATGCTTTCAAATGTGATTTCAGTGTGTTTTCAAAGCGTTTCTTCTGTCCCCCAGGTAACTGCCTGCCCTGTTTAAGTTCACTATGAAATATTTTTAAGGGCAAGCAGTCATCTGAAATTCTTGCATCATTATTTGTGTTATGTAAGTGTCAGCACTTATGGAAAATAGATCTGGCAGAAGAGTTTATTGCTCTAAATAATTTTTAAAACTCACTCTCACATTTACTTAGTCTTGGTCTACCAGCCCAAGCTTGTAATTTTATGTAATCTCTTCTTGTTTGAAGTACCGGTATGTGACAAGTATTTTAAAATAGTTTTTTTAAGGTCTAAATAAGATTCCTTAAATTTATTAAAAATTTTAATCCTTTTAATTTTAGTTAGTGCCAGTATATAAATGTTGAACATTCCAGGTCATATTTTATAACTTTTTCCATGTAACCTTTATTATTATTATTATTATTAAATTAAAATTGTGTTTGGTCACATTAAATCTCTACTCTATCAAAACTGATAAATTAAATAATAATAATGAAAGACAATTGTTTTTTTAATGATAAGGGACTTTTTTTTAAAACACATACTGGTACTCAGTGGTACCTTTCAGTAATTTATTGAGGATGTTCAATTAATGCAGTCCAATTTAACTCACTTTTAAAGTTTAGACTTATCATTAACTCATTCATAGAGAAGAACTAAGTTCTAACCGGTATTAGTAATATTAGCTAATGATTTAAATACCTGTACCTATTAGAACACAATAAGCATGTCAACTTTATTATTTATCATTTATGCATTTCTCATGTTTGCTTCATTCAGTTAATTCTTTAATATGACACAGTTATTATCAAATACATTTGGTCATGATATGATTTATTTTCGAACCCAGAGATCCCCTGTGATATCAAAAAATTATTTTCTCTGAGGGACCATGGACAATTATGAAGATATATTATGCTAATGCTATACATTAATTTGTTATGCACTGTTTATTGATAATTATATTATATTTCATGGTTTGACTTTTTTTTAAAATTACTGGATGTGAACATTTCTACTAGTACTAACATATTAATAATTTATTACTACCGTAACTTAAACTATGTTCTGAACTAAGATGCTGCACACAAAAAATATTATAAATTATACTGGCACGGTACATGTGTTGGTACCGGTATTACAAATTACATAATTGGTCAAGTGGAGAATTTCAGATAGATTTTTTTAAAATGTGTTAACTTTTATCTCCCTTACTATTACTATATACCGGTACCTGTATTAGTAATAAGTAAAAAAGGTACCCTTCATGGAAAATGGAATAGATCCCAGTATTGAACTGATTCTTCTTTATTGCTAATGTTACTCTTACTGTGTTGTTTTAATTATAATTATAATGTAGTAATAGTAAGCTTAAAATTCTTTAGTATACATGCAGTGGCGTAGCTAGGGTTGGTGTCACCTGGTGCGGTAAACTCATGGTGTCACCCCCCCCCCCCCCCACCACTCTGTTGTCTTTTTTTTTTTTATTAAAATAAGTCCACAGTATAGCATCAACCTTGAACTTTTAATAAAGCACGCATTTGGATTGGTTACATTTGTGAAAAATATATGTGTGATCGGTTATTTTTTTATGAATCTCGATTTTTGCGAGCAATGTGTGCCCTGTAAATATGCAATTTTTCAATCGGGTGTCACCCGGTGCAGTCCGCACCCCCCTCGCTACTCCACTGTATACAGGTACCGTACCGGTACCATCATAAGAAAAATTACTCAAAGCTTTTGTCATTGTCAGAAAGTATAAATACTGGTACCTGAACCTGGTATGGTACAATTCTTAAAAAAAACACTTATCACCATACCAGGTATTACTAATAGACTAATAGTAATAGATACGTTACAAGTACTGGGTAATGTATCTGACTGGATATACTGTAGGTATCATAATGTTTTTTGTAATGTGATCACATATTCCATATTGATTTTATTGAAATATATATTTATAAATATAATAATATTAAATTTAAATAATCAAACATATTGGGTCTGCTAAAGTTAAGAATCAGGTACCGGTACCTTATTTAAAAGTCCAATGACTCTCCTAACATTTGTCCTTTCTACTTGTACCATACAATACCAGTACTCAGACCAGTATTGACAACATTTAACTGGACCAAATCCCACATATCCATGATCAAGTCTGCTCACATTATTACAAATAGCCTGATACTGATAAACTGTGGATATGTTTTTCACTTTGTTGTTACTGCTTAAGCCTAAGTCAAATAACTATACTGGTATAGTACAAAGAAAGATAAGTTGTGTGTCTAAGGTGTACAGGTATGACAAGGATGTGACTTGTATCTTTGATCAATTTTTCAAAATTTGACTTTGTGTTGACATTACTTTAATGAACTACCGGTTCTCTTTAGGTTCTTTAAGTATTTCTTAACCTCTTTTGTACCGTACTCTTGACAACTTAAAGAGTAAGTTAATTTTTTTTAAATTCATAGATTTCATTTTCATATAGGGTACCCCGGTACTGTTAGTTAATTTTCAAAAGAACATGCAGCCCATGCCCCCAAGGGGTCAGTGGAGCACAGGCTAAGAATCCCTGCATTATCAGTAAGGCTGATAAGTTGCTGTGTTAGAGAAGTCTGTACAAATCTATCTCTCAATAACCTCATACTGGGTTAGACTTAAGACTTGATTCATATTCATTCAGTTGAGTCAGCCAAACAGAACACCATTACAAGAGTTGAAATAATGGTAATGTTAGCCTGAGCTGACAGTCGACAGCTTTAGTGCAGAAATGTTGCTCTCCACATGATTAAAACGACTATGTTGGAATACTTATTGCAATCTTTTACATACCAGTAATAGTAATTATTATTAAATAGCATGTCCTTATTTATTAAGAAACCATGACTTAATATTGTTCATAACATGATTTGTAATAATTTGTATGCAAATATCAATTCACTGCTGACTAGGAAAAAACAATATTTATTTTTGAAGGACTATGTCATAAGACCTAGATTAATTTTGATTAAACTTTCTTTTTACATATTTTCTTTCCATTGAAAATTTCTGTTGAGGGTATGTTTTAACTTTAGGGAATGGTTGGTAAATATAATTTATAATATGAACAAAACTCTGTATTATCATCTTATTTTTTGTACAGGAACATGAACGTTGAAGTTGCGTTCATGTACATGAACGTTGAAGTTGCGTTCATGTACATGAACGTTGAAGTTGCGTTCATTCAGACTGATCCTAAAACCTAGATTAAACTTTACATATTTCAATTACTTTCCATGGAAATTTTCTTAAATGAATGCATGTTGAGGGAATGCTTTAGGGAATGGATTAGTAAATAAAATATGAACAAATCTTCATATTGTTGTCTTATTTTTTTGTACAGGTACATGAAAGTTGCCTTCACTCAAGTAACATTACTACTGATATGTCCCACTTTAAAGCATTTACCAACAGACAGCACTTGTTACAATTAGGGCTTATAAGCACATGGGACACAACATGATAAAAAAATACAAAATGCACTCAATTTTTCAATGACTTTATTTTCAAAATTTACTTCAACTCTTTAACAGCCAAACCTGAAGATTACATATAAAAAAAAAGTTAAGAGATAAAATTTCAACAAATTTGGCATATATTTTCAACAAATTTAGCATATATTGTAGACATTTCTATTAATACAACTTAGTTGAGTTTGTTAACCCTTTACAGTCCGATGCGCCCGAAATGCGCCGATTTTTTCCTTAAGCGTACAGTCCGATGCGGCCAAACCCGCCCGTTTCGAGGTTGTTTACTTTCGTTCTTAGCACAGCGGAAGTCCATTGCGCATTACTATTTATAGTTCTACCGGAAGAAAAGCCTCGTTGTCGGCATTTGTTTCGATACTAGTTTGACCGCGGTGTGTTTAGGGGCTGATTTTCTATGATTTTTTTAAAAGTCGTGATTTTTTCGCTGTAAAAAATGGCTATCTAAACTTTGGATACACATTTGAAAGAACTTAGGCCTAATGAAGCTTCACTATTTCATGAGTGGGAGGGTCTCTGAAACTATTTTTAGGTTTAACTTTTGCTTTAATCATTTGTTTGTATTTAGGTATTTTTTATTTTATTTTGTTGCTTCTAGTTTATTTTCTGAAAATTAATTAGATAAAAGAACCTTCATTTAAAATGGAGTTATGTCCCTTTGCTTGGGCGCTGGGAGTAGACAAGGCTGAATAGGTTGGACTGTAAAGGGTTAAAGAATCTTTTAATCTCTTTCAAGAAAAGGCAAGTTCCACTTATAACAATTTACATTTAAATATAAAAAATATTAAAATAATTTGCAAGTAGATTACATTCACATCTACCTAGTGCATCTTAAAAATTCAATATAACTAAAAATTTCTTAATTTACCTGGGGGCAAAGATTGTCTTAATTTGTCTGCCTTTTCCCTGTCTTGAATGACAAGTGTATACAAGTAACGACTGCAACGGACTTTAAACTTTACATTGTCTTTATTTTTCTTGATTTTCACAGCTATAAAAAACAACATACAAACAAAAACATATATTTACGAAGTAGCAAGGAAAATGATGTTATGTTTGGGGGGTCACCACAACTAGATTTATATACACAGAATATAATTTAATAATCACATTCTATATTATGCAGTGACTTGGACCTAAAAAAAATAATTCCATCACCATTTGAATATTTTTTAACAAACAAAAATTGTAAATGTAATTGTACTGATACATGTGAAAAAGCAATGGCTACACTACCAAATAAATATTTGTAAGCTATAAATCATGGACACTAAATGTGACACACTTCACAAAAGTTTATCATCTAATCTTTAATACTAAAATTTAATTTTAATTTTTTTTTTAACGAGTGAAGATAATTTTAAGGAGTTAAAAAATAACCTTAGCATAATAAAGATGACATGTCAAGCTCTTTTTTTGTGGGCTGTGTGTTTGATTTTTATTTAGTTACAGTAGACTTATGCTAAAACCAGACCTTATGTAGACATAGTTTATTAAAATGTGATATTTTTCCAACAAACTACAATTAATTGTATTGCATCTATGACTGGATGAAATATTTATTTCAAAACATCTTTTGTAGGTTTACAACTAATTGTCCTATTGGGGTTATTCCCCTATGCTTGGTAGGGAGTTAATTTCTTAATGGATGCTACACTCTGAAAGGGTTAACAAAAATATTTCAAAATTGCAGTCTTAAAAGAAAATAAGAATAGCTCAGGTTGAGTACACCCTTTGGAACATTTTCATCATCTCTTTTAAGAGAGGGCAAGTTCCGCTCATCATAGCTACTAATAAAGCGTCTGCCCTGCATAAACAGAACCCATTAGGGAATGTCCATGTACAAAAACTGCATTAAAAAAAATAAGTAAAAATGAGAGTTAACTTGTGACATTTTTTAACCACTATTTTATCATAAAAGCCATTTTTAGGATAATGCGGCAAATTCTTCAAAATTGGCTTAAGAACCAGACTGTTTATTTTTTGTCCATGCACAATTACTCTTATTAGAAACACTCTATTGCAAATAACTAAAGCCTTTTTATTGCCTAGCAAATGCACTTACATTTAGCATCTTTCCTTCTTGCTGTTAAGAGAAAGTCCTTGATTTCTTGAATTTGTTTAGGCTGGAAAAAACAAATTGGAATTATAAAAATTGACAAATTTTGTTACCAGTAGTTTAAAAAGTAAAAGTTGAGATATTGGTGACCATAAGTATACATTTCATTTTATTTAATGACTGATTTCTACACTAGAGAAATACTTTAGATGATTTATGTTTAAATGTTGTAGATTGTTGTCTTGGGTAAAACATGTAGTCATGTGCTGAAAGTGAATATGTACAATGTATTAATAATTTATTCCCCCCCCCCCTTATTTATTTGGATTAATAAAAGTATCTTACTTTATCCTAATCATAACTAAATTTGTATAAATTATAAAGCAGTATATTTCTTTTATTTGGTGCCATTGTGGCAATATTTTCAAATGTGAAGTTATGTAAATAAACTTTAAAATGGAACATAAGTGGACATTTCATTATAAAAATTGGTTTCTAAGATTAACCTAAGACTTAAGATAAATGCATCCTTGACTTCGGGAAAAGTTTTGATTTTACATACAAAGTTTTAAATACATGGAAAATTTAAACCTTACCATGATTGCTTGAACCCTGTTCCTGTAAATTAAGAAAATATAATAAAATAAAAATCTAGAGCATTAATTTTTAAAATGTACCATATTTCTAATGTTTAGGTCTCCTTAAAAAAACACTATAGGTCTTGTAGCCAACACAGGTTTTTTTTTTATGCTCAGGTTGAGTACACTGGAAACTTTTTCATCATCTCTTTTAAGAGAGGGCAAGTTCCGTTCATCATTGCATATGTCAATTATAATGTAGCAAGTTTTATTTCCATCTATTAGTATGCAGTAAAAAAAAAAAAGATTTTTAGTAGGCAATGGAAAGCTAAGCAAAAAAAAATTAATTAAAAATTAGTTAGTTAATTAAGAAATTGATGGCATTTTTGTGGCATGTTGGGGATAGGAAATGAAGCTACAGAACGTGACAAGCTTTAAATTCATCCCCTTCTATTATAAATTATAGGGACTTAAATAAATTTATTTTTCTTTAGAGGACACTCTAGACCTAGAAGATAAGATAGTTTCACATGCAAATAAATATTATTATATCTAGGCAGTTAATATTTGATTGCTCAGGTCGAGTACACTGGAAACTTTTTCATCAACTCTTTTAAGAGAGGGCAAGTTCCGTTCATCATTGCAACAATAAATGTCAATTAAATAGCAAGTTATCTTTCTATAAATCCAGTTTAAAGGGTTCTACACCCTACAGATTCTACAATTTCAAATCAAATGTAAGGGAAGGCGTCCCTCTAAAATAATATTGGATTCTTTTTTTTTTTTAACCCAAAAGGGCATGAGGTGCTGCAAATAGTTTAAGAAACCATTTAGTAGACTAACATATGCAGATATGAACTTCTATGGTTTGTTCTGTCAATCCATAAATCTAATGACCTAATGTAGGCTAAAATATATTTTGTGAGTTGAATAGGCCAACCATCTAGTTCAACCACTAGCTGAGACAATCTGCACAAACTTCTGTTAAGATACATTTGTAATGGGATATGTCAAAAAGTGATATTAGATAGACCATCTAGTTCATAGACTAAGTAAAATCAGATTAGACCATAACAGTCCATGGACTATGTCAAACTGTGGTTTTTAATTTTGGCGTACATGTGGACATGTCTGACAGCTGGACTAATAATGTGGGAGATATTCACTCGGCGGGCATGTCACGCTTTAGTTAACATTGTACGGACACGTCACGCTTCATTTCACATTGTCACTTTTTAACCATTTGTTCATTACATATATAACATATTCCAGCAATGTTTATGTATTTCTTTTGCAGAATTGAATATATTTCTTTTTCATGTAAATATCCAGACTATCTTGAATATGTTGAAATGAAGTAAACCCTGATCAACTATTAACGGCTACGTGACAAGGTTGACTGTCATATCTATACCATATCTCACGCAACTTTTTACGCCGGTCACGTGACTTGGTAGAATATATATATAATAATATCCGGACGAATATCTCTAGCACTTATTCATCCGATCACTGGACATCTAGACATTTCGTTAAATGTTTGCTCAGGTTGAGTACACTGGAAACTTTCTCATCATTTCTTTTAAGAGAGGGCAAGTTCCACTCATCATTGCAAATCTTATGGAGAAAAAAGCCAGTTTTTCTAGCATATAAATATGATATAAGCAATTGAGAGATAAATCTGTTAACACAAAACACAATGGGTAGGCTAAGTGTTTTTTTTAAAACAGCTACAGTTACAGTTGAGTCATCAGGAAAATTAACTCTTCCCATTTTCTTTTAAGTTAAGGCTTATGTATAGCAGTAAGCATAATTGCATGAAATCCACATATCAGTTTTATTTTTATTAATAGGCCCACTTAAACCAACCAATCGACTTACTTAAATCACACCACTATTTAGTTAGTAAAACAAAGTAGTGCATTCATATAGAAATTTGATTGTGTGAACTCAGAATTAGACTTCACTTGGACTGTCATAAGTTACTTTTATTATTAGTTAGGCTTAGGCCTTTCGTAAAAAATTCATTTCATCCAAGTTAAGCCCTCAACCTCAATTTATTTTATGACAAAACAATGTGAAAATGTCTAATACTAATGTGTAGGGCCTAAAAAATATTTTTTAAAAACTAAAACGTCTATGTCTTTAATTAGTTACTAGCTCACCAGTCTCGCATTTAAGCTATCCGTTTAATGTACTAATTACTAAGTTTTTAAGCACTAGAGCAGAAGTACACAATAGTAATGTAATTTTGTAATAATAAAAATAACCGTTTTGAACTATCGTTTGGGTTTGAAAAAAAAAAAATACACAAGGGAAAATATAATCTTCGTGATTGAAACTTAAAAATAATTAAAGAGTTTGTCACTGACTGCAAAAATTTAGATTTGTAAACATTTATTTACCAAATCAAACGCAACAAACTTGTGGATTACTAACGATTGTTTCTAGCGATGTAAAATTTCATTACCTGCTTCGACCGGAACTAGATTTAAAAAGGAAGTACAATTGAAGAGATGTGCGTGCGAGGAGAATGATTTGAATTTTTTATTTTTAGATTTGGGTTTTGTACTGCTTTGTGGAGCAAGATATGTTAAGGCTTGGGAGAAAAAAAAACGACCAGGACCAGACAGTTGAGCGGTCGTTTCGGCTAGATGCCTTCTTCGGCATACAATACAATGCAATAAACAACATATACATTTAAATTAAGAAATAAAGGCTTTATTAAAGTTAAAGCGTATGTTTTCCAATATCACAATAAAGTCAAATTTAAATAAAGCTCAGGAAGCGCTCTATGTTTTTACAAATTAATTTTGACCATAATTTGTAAGAAAAATAACTGGGTTTATTAAAGATTTGTTTCCGTTTTTTGTAGGCTAAATGCTTTTGGCTTCTAAAATATATTGCCTTTGGATTTGTCAAATCCGTCGCTTTGTAATCGTCTATTCAGACATTCAAATCGTGTCATAGCGAACCTGTATCCGAAAGGCTGAGCGAAATACTAAATCACTAAATGTATTTAAAACTCCCAATTCATTTGCTCTTAGATTTGCATTTCTGAAAAATTAAAACATCAAAGTTTATTAAAACATTAAAAAATATGTGGGATGTTACATAATAAGTTACATTTCCTTTTTGGTGAAATAAATTATCCAAACGATATTTCAACAATATTTGTGCCTTTAACATGGCTTACTTGGTAAACTTCACAAGCGACATATTGCTTTTCAATTGAATGCAAATTAACATGTTAGAAATCTTACTTTGATAAAAGGTATTTCGTACCGGTTTACCTTTTCAAGCTTCATTTATTAAGCATATGTTATTTAGTGATTCCAAGTTATGTATTTTATAAGATATTTTCCTACTTATTTTATGTTCACTCCTCTGCCTATGTTAATGTTGACTTACTGTAAGTGTAAGTCCTAATTCTAATATATAATATATTTTATTAAATTTGCTTCTTCTTCTGTATTACTAGTATTAGTCTTCTAATAAAAGTTCTACAAAGACTAAGTCAGTCTAAGTAACTCTAAGTTAAAGATACCATTACTGCTTAAGTTAAGTCTAATAGTAATAGTAATAGGCCTCTACAACTAACTTCTGCTTAGACAGACTTACCCTTACTTAACAAACACTCTATTTCTATCTAAGTCTAGTTACTAAATAAGTTAGATTTTCTAATTTAAGTCTAAGACTTCGTCTTCACTAGTGACTAGTGGGTTACATGCGTGCGGTTTTCCCCCAGGACATGTCCTCATTTTTAGGCTCCTGTCTCCTTCACGATGGTGAAGACTTCACAGGATGAAATCCACAAGGCCTGGGATTATTCTTGTAGGATTATAATCTGGTACCTAACAGGAAATCGAATCTCTCCACGCTGCTGGTCAAACCCAAAGGAACACCATATGGATGATACAGATAGGCACCAGTGGCGTCGCAGGAGTTGTCAGAATGTTTCATTGTACCAATGCTATCCGCGTAGGAGACTCCATCCAGAGTTTGAATTCAGAGTTTCCTTCCAAGGTTAACGAGTCTCATCAACCTGGGGGGATGGTGATGTTTTTGCTTGGCTGTACTTTTGGCTGGAATTGAACTCTAGACCACCAACTTGAGATTTGCTCAGTTTAGACCAGTAGCCTATTAGACCTAACTTAAACAGTAGTATTTTACATAGACTTTCGGGTTCCAGAAGTCAATTTTGTAAACATAACGCATAACTCTAATGGTATGCAAGTTCTTGATAATTGCTAAATAATTGATTTTTCAAGGTAAATAAAAATATTTTATTTAAAAATGCAGAGCATAAGACATTTACAGATGCATTGAAAACTCAATCCCAGGTTTTTGTGCAGGTTGATATGACTGGGAGCTGAATGCTTGAAATTAGGCAGCAGAACTTATAGTTATATTATCTCTGTTGCCAATTAGGGTGCACTGAATTTAAAGGCGCACATCAAAGCGCTGAAGAAACTTGATCTACCAAAGTTATCAAAATAATCTGGCTCGAAAAGCAGTAGAGACCGACCGAAAGTGGTTTTCTGATTTCGGCCAAAGCCGAAAATAGGCCGAAAGTTTAAAATGACTTTCGGCCGAAACCGGAAAAAAGGCCGAAAGTTTAAAAATGACTTTCGGCCGAAACCGAAAAAAGGCCGAAAGTTAAAAATGAATTTCGGCCGAAACCGAAGACGAAACCGAAAATGAAATATTAAGATATTTTGAAATTCTTTCTCGCATACATTCTGCATTAATCGAAAATGATGTGAGAAAGTATAAATATTTACATTCTTTTTATAAAAATGAGATAATCGTAAATATTAATAAATAAACATCTAATATAGGGGTCTCAAACTCGCGGCCCCGCGAGCCATTTGTGACCCGCAAGACGATATTTTGGGGCTGCTACATGGCAGAAAAGTTTAGTTTAAATGCGCCGGCCCGTTTCCCCAATTCTCATATCTATAACGTGGCTCTCCGCGACGGTTTCAGTCGAATCTCACCGACTAGTCTAACTCTGATTTTTTTTTTTTTATGTTTCTATATATTTTTGTATGCCAGGTATCTGGCAACAGCGAGTAGTTCTTGACAACCCTTAATGATTGTAACAGTTGTAATCGCTTTTTTGTGGATTACTTGATGCGGCCCACTCTCATTCAGACACTACCTCCTGCGGCCCCCTGATGATTTGAGTTTGACACCCTTGATCTAATTAATACTTTGGATTTTACCATTTTAATATAAAAGTAATTTAAATTGCTTTACAATTTTTTTTTTTAATTCGTATGGTAGGAGAAAATTTGGCAAAAAATTAAAGGGGGGGGGGAGGGGGGGGAAATTAATGCAAAATATAATTTTTTTAAACAGGGTCTCTAAAAAATGTGGTTCTAAAAGATCGCTTAACTTGTTTTTAAAGATCGTTTAGTTGGTTGTTATTGATCGGTTAGTTTCTTCTTAAAGATCGATGCGTTTGTTCATAAAGATCGCTTAGTTTGTTGTTAAAGATCGTTTAGTTTGTTGTTAAAGATCACTTAGTTTGTTGTTGAAGATCTTTTAGTTTGTTCATAAAGATCGCTTAGTTTGTTGTTAAAGATCGCTTAGTTTGTTGTTGAAGATCACTTAGTTTTTTCATAAAGATCACTTAGTTTGTTCTTAAAGATAATTAATTTTGTTCCTTAAGATCTACTAGTTTGTTCTTAAAGATCGTTTAGTTTGTTCCTAAAGAACATTTAGTTTTCTGTTAAAGATCGCTTAGTTTATTCTTATAAATCATTTAGTTTACTATTAAAATAATTTGTTTTGTTCTTAAAGATCATTTAGTTCGGTCTTAATAATCTTTTAGTTTGTTCTATAAGATCGTTTATTTTGTTATTAAAGATCGCTTAGATAGTTCTTAAAGATCGCTTAGTTTGTTTTAAATATCGTTTAGTTTGTTCTTAAATGTCCCTTAGTTTGTTGTTAAATATCGTTTAGTTTGTTCTCAAAGATCGCTTAATTTGTTCTTAAATGTCACTTAGTGTGTTGTTAAATATCGCTTTCGCTGAGTATTAAATGACCGAAAACCTTAGTCACTTTTGGCCGGATGGCCGAAAGTCTAAGTCAATTTCGGCCGAAACCGAAGAAAAACCGAAAGCTAACTTTTCTCTTTCGGCCGAAACCGAAATTAAGCCGAAAGTTAACTTTTCACTTTCGGCCGAAACCGAAACTTGGCCGAAAGTGATAACATTGCCACTTTCGGCGCCGAAACCGAAGCCGAAGCCGAAATTCGGTCGGTCTCTAAAAAGCAGTGAATCTTTTTCAGCAGCTGAAGGCATATTGTCGTTTCACCCTGTCAAGCACCATCAAAGCTATAAATCAATAATATAATTCAATGTAATGTAATTTGTGTTAAACACTCGCTAATTCTAATACAAGTTTTTTATTAAAAATATTTACAATAAAAACTTTAGTTTATGTAGTTTAACTTTAATTTTATTTGTATAACACTTAAGATTGGCATAGACCTGAAGCCAGCTATAGGTTGGTAACCGAATTGGATGAAAATTTTGAGTGTCTTCTTTTTCATCTTAGGACTTATGGCAATCCTAATTGGTACTATCTTGTATACTCTCTAATCTAGACTAGGCGTAGGAGTACTAACAAATAGTTGGAATAAATGAAGTAATACTGAACTGAATACTGTAGACCAAATGTATGAGTAATTAGTAATACTATTAGTTATAAGTAAGTAGTAGTAGGGCCAAGATTCTAGAAAAGGGCCAAACATGAAAATTTGGCTAATGTATACCAGTAGGCTTGAGAAGGCTGGCCTAATTTTTGTTTAATAATTTAAATAGTTTTGGGTGGCTTGTTTTAATTTTATCAAAATTTAGAGGCCTGCTAGTATAATATTTTGACATTTTTAAGCTATAAATAACTCAAAACCATCTCTACCGTACTATATGGTATATTTTGCAAGCTTCTTGACATTGTGTGGCAGTATGAAATCACTGACTGAAATCAGATGGGCTGGACTTTTTGTGAGAATGCCAGACAGCAGACTGCCAAAACAACTAATGTACTGTGGACTATTTAGAGAGAACCGCTTAGCTGGAACATGTGGGCTAAAAATATGTTTCAAAGATTGCTTGAACGTCACCCCAAATCAATGGATATCACAAGTTGGTGAGGCAGAGAGAGTACACATACTGCTCATGTCCAAAGAAAACACACAGCAAGGAAAAGCAGAATTGCCTCCACCTGGCCTTCCACTAGTACCGGAAAACATTGGTGTCCTACATGTGGGCAAGTTTTCCAGACACAAATGGGACCCACAAGCCACCTGTGTTCCATGATGTCAATATAGCCTCAGTCATCTTCACATGGGAAGGACGAACAGCACAATAATGTTTTAAACTTAAAATAATGTTAAATTTAGGTTCCATGATTTTGCGCTAAATGCGGTATGACTACGTTTACCATTAGGGGCCCGAAGCCATAGTTGCAAAATCATCATTAACATAGGCCGCAAGCTGTGTTTATTATTTATCACAACAGTAAAATTAACTTTCATGGAGAGATACTAACTTTTGTTATTACATCAGCATCGTTGTTTTCAAATGTTTTTGTTGACAACTTACTCAATTCTAAAATAAGTTATGGTCTCAATTATGTAGCCTTCTACTCTGCAGCAAATAGACTCTCTTACCCCTGCATTTCTAAAATGTTGAAGGTGCTGGCAACAACTATTAAAGAATTGAAGAAAATAATATATAATTAAAAGATTTGTTATAAAATACACCTAAAATAATTTTTAAATGTTTTTAATTTCAGATTCCAATATTTGATCTGCTCAGTTTAAAAAAGAGATGAGTAACCAATATGGAGGTAATAAAAACCCACCATGGGCAAGACAAGGTAAATGACATAGCAATTTTAAATTGAGTTTTTATTAAATTAAAAAAATAAAAATAAGGGTTGCAATGATGAATCAGCAGATATTTATTAATGGTGTACAAGTAAAAGACAATGGAGCAAAGTCCTTGTAATCCATCCATCCCTGTGGCCCTACAGCCCATGTAGGGCTTTAGCCTGCCTCACCACTTCCTTCCACTTAGACCTAACTGATGCTTTTCTTTTCCATGCCTGGATTCCCAGCTGCTTTAGATCTTTTTCCATATCATCCATCCATCTAAGCCTAGTTCTGCCTTTGAACCGTTTTCCTCTAGGGTTTTGGTGATGTAGGCTCTTCACTCCTCTCTCATTTGGCATTCTTTCTAAGTGTCCAGCCCAGTGAAGCCTGCCCTTTTTTATTTTTGCTTCTAGCGTAGGATAATTATGTCTTATGTAGTCATACAATTCCTGGTTGGCTCATATTCTCCATTCATACTCATGTGTTTAATAGGTTTTTCGACATTTTTTTAGTTTCAAGTTTCACTTGCGCATGTTACAATAGGTCTACAGTTTTATAAATAGTTTTCTTCGTATAACTCTCTTTAATTTTAGGTTAAATAACATACATGACAGTGAGTCTCCTTGTCTAATTTGAAATCCCCTTGAATATTCTCCCTGAACCTTGATTTTGCTTTTTGAGTTGTTTAATGTTTATGTTTCAGTCTTGTCAGTTTGTTGGGTAAGCCAAACTCATGCAGAGTCTCATATAGATATTTTCTTTGATGCTGTTATAGGCTGTTTTATAATCAACATAGAGTTGATGTACTGGGATATTATATTTGTTACATTCTCTAATAGGCATCTGATGTTGACAATCTGATTATTTGTTGATCTGTTTTTTCTGAATCCTTAATAGTAGTCACCTAGCATGTGTTCAGTGCAAGCTTGGAGTCTTTTGGCACTTAGTTTTGTCAGTATTTTGTATGTAACATTTAAAAGGGGGATTCCTCTGTACTTTGTGCATTGAAGTTAGGAGCCTTTCTTATGTATTAGGGTTATTAATGCTGTTACCCTATTTGTTGGAATGTTCTCTTCTTGCCAAATTTTAGTTATAAGTTTATGTATCCCGAGTGTGTAGTTTTCTTAATCCATATTTAATAAGTTTTGCTGTGATGAGGCCTTCTCCAGGGGTTTTGTGGTTTTTCATAGGATTGATTTCTTCTTTAGTTTCTTCCCAAGTGGGGGAGTTTATTAAAAGGTCTGGTCCTCCATGTGGTGGTTGATAATCTTCACCTTGTCCATTGTCTGCATTTAGTATGCCTTCAAAATATTCAGCCCACCTCTCCAGCACATATGTCTACTATTTGAGTTTTATTTCATTTATGTTACTTATTCTAGTTTAGTAATGATTAAAGAAATAAAAGGATTTTATTTATGAGAATGATATATTTTTGTTGATTTTTAATAGCTTCGAAGGATACATTTAGTTAAATTGATACTGTTTCTAATAATAAAGACTTTTTAATTTGCAAGATGATGGTGTAGCAAGTTGTTATGTGCATGATTGGTTTTACACAAATTTTTACTTAAGAATATTTATAAAAAAAAAACACAAATTTTTATTGTTCTAACATTGTTTATTCACAGAAATGGAATCAGTATTTCTCATCCTTGAACTGCTATTTAATAAAATAAAATTAGCTTTAATAATTTTGAAAAATTTGGATTAAATCTTGACCGTAATTTGTTTTCAAGAATAAAAAATTTGAATTTTCTTAACAGTCTGGAAGTCTAAGTTGTATCTTAACCGGTACTGACAATCTTAAATTCAGCCGAACAAAAGGATTAGGTCACAAAATTCATCATTTGCACAGAACCATACATGACTATATTTGCAGCAATATCTGGCGAGTTCATGTGTGATTACACAAAGCTAGAATTTAAAAATCTTGCTGTGATAATTTTTAAAACCTTTGATGAAATTAATTAAAATTCATAGATTATCCCACAGACAGTATTTAGCCTGTTTATGGGCTCCTAATCTCAGGATAATTAATGTATCTATATTCTACCAAGAACCCTCCCCCATATGCACCAGTATGCAAAATCTCTTAAATCAATAACACCTCCCCCCCCCCCTTCCACTTAAAAGCATATCATTACTTAATATATGCCCATATGCACCAGTATGCAAAATCTCTTAAATCAATAACACCCCCCCCCCCCCCTTCCACTTAAAAGCATATCATTACTTAATATATGGATTGGCCATAAACAGTCATTTTCTAGTTGCTTAACTATAAAGCACTAGTTTTCCTGTAAATTATTGCATGGCACTTGGACTTGTATGCTGTCACCCTCTTAGGTTTGGGATATGCTTAAGAATGGCAACTTCTGGCAGGTTACACATCCATTTAGAGCTTTATTGACACGGGTACAATCAACTTTGGGTATGGAGACTAGAGGTCAACTACCGGATCCAAATGTTTAATTACCCACTTTTCTTCACTCATGTTTAAAAATAATTGATAAATTATTAGTTGTCGTCCCGGGGTTTCCCATCACGGCCGTGAAGTGTCAACCAAGATGGCGGCCAAAAAGTAGTGCAAAACACGTTATGAAACTACTGGGGAGGGGAAACCCCTCCCCATACCCCTCCCCCCACTTTAAATACCAAAATCAGAAACAAAGAAATTATCCGGGGAGGGGAGATCGTTAAAAAACGATAACATTTTAATTGCTTGATTATTTATAATTATCATTGGTTGGCTAATTATCATATTTTATTTGTGCCGCCATATTTACAACATGTTAGCCTAATGCCGGCTGTTGTGCTCTACCCATTTGTGCATATTATTTTTCTATGGAACCTGAAATAAAGTGTGTAAAAGTGTATTTCATGAAACTGTAAGTTGGGTTTTAATTATTTCTTAGTTTTTTAATTATTTTTGGCCATTTTTTTTTTTTTTTTTTTTCATTTTTATTGTTTATGCCACTTCCACAGTGTTTAAATTCCATGTGTTTTTACTTGTGGCTTTAGGCTTTGTGTAGATTTTTTTTTTTTTTTTTTTTTTTTATTTTGTGTGTTTTATTTTTTTTTTTTTTTTTTTTTGTTTGTTTTTTATTTTTTTTTTGTTTTTTTTTTTTTTTTTGCCTTTTTTTTTTTTTTTTTTTTTCATTTTCATAGTTTATGCCACTTCCACAGTGTGTAAATTCCATGTGTTTTTACTTGTGGCTTTAGGCTTTGGGTAGATAATTTCTTTGTTTCTGATTTAGGTATTTAAAGTGGGGGGAGGGGTCTGGTGAGGGGTCTCCTCTCCCCAGTCGTTTCATAACGTGTAGATGCAAAAATAACTAATTTTGACCTTACCACCGGACACTCGGAGTGCATCAAAGAAGACGACAAGTGACGTAACGTTTAAGCACTCCTTTCTATATCCGCATAATTTTAAAGAACCCTTTAAGAAAATTAATTTCTCCATTTTTCATTAATATTTCTAACATTCTAACATTTCCAAACTCTGAGCATGAATTTTAAATGCATAAAATTTAACTTTTAAAAACCTAAAAGTTTAACTTTTCTTTTAATCTTGGTTAATTATTCACATGTGCACATGAAATCTTGTTCCAACCGGTTATTAAATATTAATTTGCAGCACAAATATTGAATAAACAAGCAAATGACGTCATGGGTATGCTGATACTTCGTCCAATGAAAACTAACAATAAAATAAACAAAGGGGAATTGACTCCTGCACAAAAATTGAATAAACACGCAATGATGTCATGGGATGTAAACTAAGAATCAGCCAAATAATTGATTATTTTTACTCAATGGAACTCAAGTGTTGTAACATTGGCATTATATATTACCTGCAATTAATTATAATTTAATATGCTAGTTTTTTTATGTCAAAATTAATTAGATTCATTGTGTAGCAAGGTTGAATAAATAGTATTCATCCCATTCCTTTATCTGTGCAAGCCTAATTTATTAATAACACCCCCCCCCCCCACCCACACACACACACACACTTTTCTCCCTTTCTATGAAAGAATAATAAATCTCATGACTTACATTACAATCCCATTCCTTTATCTGTGCAAGCCTAATTTATTAATAACACCCCCCCCCCCACCCACACACACACACACACTTTTCTCCCTTTCTATGAAAGAATAATAAATCTCATGACTTACATTACAATTTTTATCGTAGAATGATGTATTTTGTTGTGTTAATTGAAAATATAGTACCAGGTCCATTTTTGCAACTTTTTAGACTACAGTAGCCAAGGAGCAGCAGGAATACTGCAGACAAATGTGACATATCCATATAATCAAGCTCAAGCACAGTTTGCCCAACAGCAGTTGGGTACTGGGGTAAGATAACCACATTTATAAGGATCATATACACCCCTCTACACACATGTTACAAGCTTTGGAAAAAAGAAGAACTTAATTCAGATATTTATATCATAATGCAGATATTATTATTAAATTTTATATTACCATTGCAGATTTTAAAAAGCCTGTTTTAAAGTTGTTATGAATGATTTATGGAATTTGGACTTCCTCCCACCATTGTTAAAAAGACTCCTATCTTGTGGCTAGGGCCCCCACAACTGAATTACAAGTTTGGCGGTTGCTAAATTGTGGTGTATTTTGATTTATTAAAAAATAATTATGAAGAAATTTCTGTTCAATTATTAAGCGTATTATATAACTTTTTTTAGCCTAATATGCAGACTGCTCAGGGGGCTCTTCTCCCTCAACCAGGCCTCACCCTACAGACTCCATTGCCAGGAAATAATTCACAGGTTTGTTGTTAACAAAAAGTGTTACATTGCAATATCTTTTTCAAATAATCTTTTTTTAAAAAAAATTTAAGTTAGAAATGACGCGCCAAACAATGGAGCCAGCAAGTGTGAACTTTAAAAACTGCTAAAGTTACTTTACAAAGCATTAATTTAAGTAACACAATTTATAAGAATTCTAATTAGTGCTAACTTCTGGGAATTTTATTTTGCATGCCTATAGAACACAGAGATAGAGCTGCACATACAGTAACTAGAGAATAATGGGAGTCGCTTAGTCGATTGATTTGTCACGTGATGAGAGTAAAAACGAGTAAGACTTCCGGTAGGCTGTATACAACGCACTAGTGCTTGACAACAGTCGCCCGATACACACTACAACTAGTAATTCAAGATGCCTAGGCAATGTTCGGCTTTTGGCTGTTCAAACAGTCAAGTTAAGGACAGCGGTATAAGTCTGCATAAGTTTCCGCTTAAGGATAAAGAAAATTTAAGACAATGGCTTGACAAAGTGGACCTTTGTTAATTATTCACATGAAATCTTGTTCCAACCAGTTATTAAAATATTCCTTCGCCGCACCAATATTGAATCAACACGCAAATGACGTCATGGGTATGCTGACATTTCGTCCAATGAAAATTAACAATAAAATAAACTAAGGGGAATGACTCCTGCACCAATATTGAATAAACACGCAAATGACGTCATGGGCATGTACGGAGCTCACAACAGCCTGCCGATGATAGTATTGATAGTTCCCATCGAATATCGCCTACAAATTTGTCTTGAAATAACTTTCTTCCTTTCATCATAACTGACGTATATTTATTGTCACATTTATGTATTTCATTTAAAAAACGTGTGTATTCCAGAATATTTCGAAAGATAAAATTTTTAAGTAACATGACATTGGGGAAGCACTGATGAAGTATCTTTTGTTGTGTGTATCAGCCTAGTGATGGCTTACTCTCATCACGTGACCAAACAAGGAAGTGACTAAGCGACTCCCATTATTTGTGATAAATTACAATAAACAACAAAAAGGCTTCATGTACAAAAATTCATCTGTATTTTATTTCAAAATTAAATAATGCACAATGTTAACATGATGCATATGCAGACCTGTTTACCAAAAGAGTGTTTGTGTGGGGGTGGGGATGCAATCAAAATCCAAGTTGTGTAAGGAAATACACTCAACTACTCATGTACGTTAACCCACTAATTGTCCATTACATGTTTCTGTGCAGGCTATTTAGAGCTTTTTGGGTGCCTTCGAAAAAGGTGATTTTTCAAAAATAAATACTATAGCTAGACCCCATAAAGTATATGTTTATTGAAAGTAGACTGAGTGGGGAATCATACTGGCTATTTTTTAATATTTTATACTCTTTGACTGTGACCTTGACCTTGGAGTGGCCAAGAATAAAGAAAATTTTTCTTTTCAAGTGCCTAAAACTACAATTTTTTAAAGGCATATTGTTATAATGTTTATATAATATGACAGCATTTTTATTTATCTTTTAGAAAATTTATTATTTGTACATGTTTTAGTTATTAATAGATTTATTTTGATACGTATAATTACGTTCAAGTAACAAAGCTTGACATAAACAATATAAACATTAGTAAATCACATGAAACAGATAAAATTTAAAAAGCTGCTATATAAATATTTAATCCATAAAATGAAATGTAAGAAAACACATAGAAAAACATTAAATTATTTTTTGTTGGTACAAAATCATCTGCAACATAGTTTTGAATGAGTCATGTTGTTGCGGCAACGCCTGCTCGTTCTAGGCCTAAGGCTAAATCTAGGCCTAGGTCTAAATTATCCGAACTTTCGCTTTCTGACCCACTAGAAGAATAGTCGGAATCATCATTGTCTTTGTGTGTGATGGGAAAATCAGCTTCCGAAATCACTTAAGTCATTAACTAAAAAGAATTATCAAAAAGATTCCTGATTAATTTTGTAAGTCAGATGGACCAGCTATGGCCTCATCCATTTAGCGAAAATCTACTTACGCAAATTTGCTTGATAAAGATCGTTGTAAAAAATAAATCCAAAGTTTAAAGAAAGGACACAGAAGAGCGAAAAACAAGTTTATTTATTATTATTAGGAAGTAACTTTATTTAGTGTAAAATATTTGACTGGAAATTGTTCTTTCAACGTAATTTTTACAGGCTGATAAAATCGGCCGACACAGTACAGAAATAGTAAATCTGGCGATTAAATGGGCCAACCACAGTTCGTGGGTTAACACAAATATAAATATACATGATATAGTCTTCTGATTTGTTTTAAGATGATGAGAAACGTTCTTAGCCAAGCACATTGGCAGTTAAGTATTAACACCACAATGGTATAACAGAAAAATTTTATGCTTGGTTCGATGAGATAGAGTCCCCAAAGGCCAATCACTGTTTTTCTTATTCTATTGCTTACGGTGTTAACACAAAAAATGCTTTAAATTTTTACTGAAAACACCCCAGTTCTTTATTTTTTATTAACAATAAACCAAACGAGGGAAAAAACTCCCAAAACCATAGTTTTTTTTTTTTTGGTGCCTCGTAGTGCTTAGTCTAGTGGTTGACAAACTCATTAGTCAAAAGAGCCAAAAATCAGCGGCAGAACATTAAACAAATTTTTGAGAGCCAAATTTCTTTTCAAGAACCATGTTTTTCGGAGTCAAAACTGATTTGGGGCCGGGCCGGTTGGTGGAGCTGCATTCAGGTCGCTAAGGTGCGGGGATTTGCCGACTACTGGCCTTAAAACATAGTTAATAGCAGGTCTGCATATGTATGATGGACTCATAACTTTTATTACAAGATGATAGTGTATCATTCATTGCTTGGTTATATGTGGGCTCTCTTAGAATTACTGGCCTTAAAACATAGTTAATAGCAGGTCTGCATATGTATGATGGACTCATAACTTTTATTACAAGATGATAGTGTATCATTCATTGCTTGGTTATATGTGGGCTCTCTTAGAATTACTCTTGAACAGCGGTTCTCAACCTGTGGGTTGCGACCCCTCAAAAGGGTCATCAAAGGTGTCGCACGACCATTTCCCAGGGGTCGCCTAAGACCATCTGAAAAAATGTGCTCTACAGTTATGAAGTGGCAACGAAAAAAATTTTGAGGCTGGAGGTCGCCACAACATGAGGAACCGTATTAAAGGGTCGCGGCAATAGGACGGTTTAGAACCACTGCTCTAGAAGTTGCTTGATTTTGTACATTAGCTAACTAGACTGAAAGTTGTGTTCAGTTTATGAATATCTTGGAATAGGTTGGTACAGTCAGCTATCCTATCAAGCCCCAGGGAAATACTGGAACATTGGCCAATCAGAAGCAGAGAATATTTACAGGCAGTGTGACAAAGATGCATGAAAATTTTGGCTTTGTTGATGAAGAAGTTTTTTTTCAAGTGAGGTGAGTGCCTAGATTAGTCACATGTTCAAATTACTCATATTTTTTGTTATCTCTTTTACAGAACAAAAAGGATGTTGAATATTTTTACAGTTGAAACCTGAAATTCTGAAGCTTATTAACCCTTACTGTACTGACCTACTTTTTGCTTGTATAGCCTCAGTCCCCGCTATTATTTTGCTAATTATTCCCAGACATTATTTTGGAATGAGCCAAAATTTGATAGGTTTGAAAATTATTTTGTAACTTTTTTGTTCTAAACAATTAATAGTAACATGTAGAGAATTATCTGTTCAGAAATGGATAAGGGTGTTAAAAAAACTAAAGCGTTTTGTTCAAAATTTTCTTTGGCAATGGCACATTAGGGGATTGTGCGTAAGTCGTCATCAATATTGTAGCGCCACGGAAACAACAAATACAGATCCGCCCCAAAAAATCAGTAATTAATCGATTTTAATAATTTAAAGGCAAATTAAAATTTGACCATTCCCTAACGAATAAACAGTCTGACCGAGATTGAGGTGAAAGGTTATATCCTCGTTTCTGTGTTCATATTAAATGCCCCTCTATGTGGCAAATAGAAGCGCTTGGGCCACAGGGAAAACGATCGGCTGGTGAAAAAAGACGTGCTTTGGTCACAGGGAAAAAGTAGGTCACTGCAAAAAGACGCGTCTGCCACTGTAAAGGTTAACTTGTAAAACTGTCAAAAAATTAGTTACAAAGTTACAAGTTAGGTCGGTGTGGATTAGCAGTGGTAAATCATCTCATCAAATTTGTTAATTTTGTGGGAATTAAACATTTTAAGGATGAAAAGATTATGTTTTTTTTTGGTAAACTTTTGATTACATTCAGCATTATGTTAATAAATATATTTGTATATTCATCTAATCGTTTTATGTTCTAGCTGTGTCAAAGGATTGATTCCCAAGGTTGGGGACAAGGTGCTTGTCGAGGCATCATACAATGCCAATATGCCATTCAAATGGAATGCAACCAGAGTTATTGCATTGGTAATGTTTACAATCATGTTTTATATACCATCATATATTTCAAAATTCATTAGGCTTATTATTAATACTATGAATATACAATAAAATACAATGTATGACCTGAAGGGTCATAATTTTTGCATCTCTGGAACTGTTTACCAGCCAAATAACAAGATTAAAACACTATTGTAGCCAGAGTAGTAATGAGATCATTTGAAAACTTCCATTTTTGGTGTGGTTTTAAATCAACATATTATTCATGTTGAATAATGTTGAATTTTAAGTATAGACTTAACAAATGCCAAAACTCATCATTTGAAAAACCACTTGCTATTCTCCACCTTTGCTCTCTTAATAATGTTAGGAATTTTTTTTTAAAATTCTGTACTGAAATCTTTGACTTTTTAAAAATTATAAGATATCAAATGATTGTCCTTATACTTAAAGCCAGATGCTATGGGCAACAACCAGATGCTTGCCATGCAACAACAGCATCAACAACAACAGCAGCAGCAACAACAACAACAGCAGCAACAACAACAATTGAAAGCCATACAGCAGCAAGCGATTGGTTTGATGGGGGCCACTGGTTTAATTGGAGGAATAGCTGGTTTGTCTGGGGGTCAAGGCCTCCTGAGTAATCCACCGGGGCCTCCTCCACTTATGACAGGGATTGGAAAATTTCCAGGTGGAAGTGAGTTCTTAATTAGTCATATCTCTATGTTCTATGTTTGGCTCATCTCTATGTTTTATGTTTGTCTCATCTCTTTGTTCTATGTTTGTCTCATCTCTATGTTCTATGTTTGTCTCATCTCTATGTTCTATGTTTGTCTCATCTGTTCTATGTTTGTCTCATCTCTATGTTCTATGTTTGTCTCATCTCTATGTTCTATGTTTGTCTCATCTCTATGTTCTATGTTTGTCTCATCTCTATGTTCTATGTTTGTCTCATCTCTATGTTCTTATTTGTTACATCTCTACGTTCTTTATTTGTTACATCTCTACGTTCTATGTTTGTCTCATCTCTTCCCACCATCTGGGCATTAATTTTTAAAAACGTAATAATATATATATATAAGAAAAACAGTGTGTGCGCCTCGGGATTTTAATTAAGAGCCAACAAGGATCAGATAAACATATTGAATGGCTAGCTTAGATTTGACATCCTTGATTTTTATGGGGTATTTTTAAAGAGTAGAAAAAGGTATTTGATGGTTTATGCCTATATAAACAATATCTCTGATTGTATAGCTAGCATGACAGACTATTGTGCACTGCATTTGTTTACAGGTTTATTTAACTCCGGCAATCGGTCTGGCATCAACACTGGGCCGGGCTTGCTGGGGGATCCTGTACCAAGAAATTTAATGGCAAACAAAGATCAAAGAGGCATGGGCTTGGGTGGAGGGCTCTCATCCAATGAGCCGTTAAAGGACAGGGAAAGAAGGGACAGAGAAAGACGCGAGCGGCGGGAAGCAAGGCGCAAAAGATCTAGATCACCAGTTAAGCGATCACGCTCTCCTCCTAAACGATCACGTTCCCCTCCGGCACGTGCACGCAGTCCTCGTAGTCCACGAAGCCCTCCAAAACGCAGAGTGGTACGACCTCCACCGAGATATGTTGTTCAAGTACCAAAGATTCTATTAGATGTGTGAGTAGAGCCTCTCAGCACTCTCTTTCAATTCTTAGTTTTGTTTAAACTTAAGAAACAGACTTTTACTTAAAGTCTTTATATTTTGTATTGCCTGTTGTAAGAAGTGTTAAGAAATACCAGTATATGTTTTACCTTGTTTCAAATGTTTACCTAAAGAAAACAAAAATTAGATAGCATTATTTTAACAAGCAAATTTTCCAGTCAGGAAACCTGTGTGGTGTCTCTGAAGAACAAGTACAGTAACTTGTATATACCAAGCGATTTTTTCCATGGCTCATTTTCCTGGGTAGAGAATTTTCCCCTCACAAGGCCATTTACACTGGGTCAAGCGTGCAGTTTTCATGTCATGCACAAAGATGTTCCACCAATCAAACCAGAGACTGCTGTCCATGAGCCCAGTGATGCTGATCATCTATTCAGTGCCAAGGTAATTTTCAGAGAATAATTTTCAGCTTAGAAAAATAAAGGTAAATATGACCACTGACATAAACAAAATATCTCTTAAGATATAAACCTAAGACCAAAATTTCAATCTTGCTTCTTCTTCTAGGTGATGCTTTTAGCAAGTCCATCTGATGAAGAACTATACAAAAAGTCTTGCTGCCTTGCTGAAGATCTTCCTGATGGATTAGAAAACTTCCAGCATCCAACTCGTCTGTTACAGTTTCTTGTTGGGACTCGGGGCAAGAATGAACCTATGGCAATAGGGGGTCCATGGTCCCCATCTCTAGATGGACCCAACCCACACACCAACCCACTGGTCCTCATCAAAACTGCCATCAGGACCACCAAAGCTCTTACAGGCATTGATCTCAGCTCTTGTACTCAATGGTAAGATATTAGTCCTCTTCTTTATAGACATTTTATTATCTTATAGTTGCCAAATAATGTTAGTACATGGTGAGTTCCTTGATTTAATTTTGATTTCTTTAATAAAACATCAGTTTTCAACCTTTATTATTTGAGGACACATTATTTGATTAATTATTTCAGTTTTGTGCAATTTAACTAATGAGATGTTTCAGTAAAGATCAGAGCCCATGCAAATTATTATCATTATTATTAATACCTATTAAAATTAGTTGGCATATAATACAGATATCATCTTATTTTGTAAGTTGGTATATTGCCCCCCACCATCTTTCCACTCCAAATTCTTTATATTAGTTCTATTTCCATATATTAAAATCTTGCGATTCATCAGTGCATCTTTATGAACTGGTTAGAAAATGCTGTTGTTGATAGATATTACTTAAATGTTTTTTCTCCTGAAGTATCCCATACGGGTTTAAAGATGAGGACTGCAGCATTTTTACTTGGCATGTTTGTTCTTCAAATTGTTGTCAATGACTGTTCAATCTTATTTTAGCTATTTTAGTTTAGCTTTGGCATAATCATTTTTTCATTGATTTAAAAAAACTGAGGTGCAGCAAGTCTAAAGAAGCCAGATATTTATTTTCTTTGACTCTTTTAAAAACAATCTTTTTGCCGCTACATTTATGTTACTGGTTGCTGGACTAAACTCGTGACCTTGACCCTATCCCAAACCATCCTTTGGAATCATTTGTGCGTGTGTATCTCGATGCACTGTATTCTGTAATATTCCCCGAGTGTCCCCGGGCTTGTGTAGTCAGCAAGTTTCTTCAGTTCCCTGTGCCATACATCTCTATTTGTTGGCAGGTACCGCTTTGCAGAGATCCGCTACTTCAGACCAGAGAGTAAGCACAAAGACCGGGTACAGCCCGCCCGGGTGGAAACTGTGGTCCTTTTCTTACCTGACGTGTGGACTTGCAACCCAACCCGTCTGGAGTGGAATTCCCTCCAGGCGGCCTATCAGAGACAACTCCAGCAGAAACTGAACCCCGAGTCCGCTCAGCAACAGGCACTGTTATAAAACATTATGTATTCTCCCCGTTCCCTTGCTCTTTTTTTACATTCATTCACAGATAGCTTGGCTCGTATACTTGCCTTTAGGATCTCGATATGAAAGGCGTCAAACGTTGGGGGTCTTTGCAAGAGTTGCCATGACATTGGGAGGAGTATTTTTTTTAACCCCTTTGACCAAATAATGTTTGCTTTCCCAAAAGTTGTTTGTATACTTTCTACAAGCTTGTATGAAAGAGCCAGAAACTTAGCTCCAGGGAACTACCTGTTGAAGTACAACGTACCTTAACTGTCCTTTTTTTCACTTCAGTATAGCAATAAACTTGATCTTGCCAGGCATTGATACAACGATCTTTTTCCATTTCTTTAATTTTAATCATAAAAATCTCATCTCAGATATTTGTATAATTTGTCACTATTATTTATCGGCCCTTCCCCAAACCCATCATCTTAGTCGTCACAAGAAAGCCTGGTGGTCACCATTATGGGTAGATTTAACAGAATTTCCTATTAACTCATATTCCCGTCCACTTGACTCGCTCTAATACTCAATTTAATGGCTTATATCCCTAGGAAGAAGAAGAAGGTGAAGAACAGGGAAGTGATGAAAAAGTTGAACCTTCACATTTTTCAACTCTTGATCCCAAAGTGATGAAGGTTTGTCTACCTGGGACTTACCGTACAACAGTACAACTTGTACTAACTTGTTTAGTTCTGATGTCAGCATGTTAAACAAGGAGAAGCCTTATTTCATTCAGTCATTACATGAGTTTTATGACGACTTCCTCTCATTTAAAAACTATGATTTTATTGTTCCTCAGGTTGGGGATTTAAGACAAGAGCTAGAGCTTCGCAACATCAGTCCCAAGGGACTCAAGTCCCAACTTATTGCTCGGCTGACCAAAGCTTTGAAAGCTGAACAGGAGAAAGACCAGGAAGACAAGGAGATGGAGGCAGAGAAAGCCGCTGTAGGTTTTGTCTATATCACATTTGATGTATGCCTGTCACTTCAGGAATGTTTAACTTTTTAAAACAATAAATTGACCTTAAGCAATTTTCAGAAATAAAGACATATTTTTGGAATGATTACACTAGGAAAAAATTCAATGATGAAAACAGTAGAGCCAGATTTAATTTGATGAAACACTAGCAAATTAGCATTCCAAAAGTGCAGCGAGGGATAATAATTTAATTGACTCATTATTAATGTTGAGAATGCTTCCTCTTATTTCTATAAGGAGGAGGAGGCTGCCAAAGCGGAGGATGAGAAAGACAGAGAATCTGAAGAGGAAGAGAAAAGTGAGAGTAAAAAAAAAGAGGTAAGGTAAAATGTTATAGAAGAAATGGATAATAAATTATTGTGTGTAAAGACAGTAATTCATCACTTGCTATTGTTGTTGTTATTTGTTATCAACTCATCACTTGTCATCATTGGTGTGTAGTGATATTATGCTTGTAGCTTAGTCAACATGCCTTCTCATCACTCTATCATTTGTAAAAGAAAAAAAGCTCACCAAGGGATTTTCCACATGGGTTTTTACCTACAGACTTGGGTCTTAGCCATGTTAACCCTTTTACGGGGCAGAGGTACTTCCTCTTGCATGTCCTGAACGGGCACCACTTTTCCGTTTTTTAGTAAAATTTAGGGTTACGTTACAAAAAAAAACAAATCTAAGGTGTTAATCAACACATTTGTGTGAAATAAAAAGCAAAATAAAGGAAAATGAATGCAGATTTATAATTGTACTCACATGTTGCCATTAATCCTTATATGAACACAAATATTTGCAAAAAGCAACATATTGTTTGTGATTGTGAGTCATCTATTTACTATTTACAAACACTGCCACAAAATCGAAGTTTGTAAAATTCAACACTGCTTACTACGCTGATTTCACTAATATTACTAATAATATAAACATCTAGTTCCAATTTACAGTCAATTCGTGCACTTAAATGTCACTTGAATTGCATCCAGCGAAATCTCAGCTATCACTTGAATAATCGGCAAATAATCGGCAAAATTCATTTCGAAATTTTTTTTTTTTAAAATCCCTAAAACTACACACAAAAAAATCGATTAAATACTTGTAACTGGCGCCTACTCTATTTAGCTATCGGAAAAACCGGATGTAAACAATAGGAAGTCTCGCAAAGCCTCGGAGGTCACGAGAAAACAACACTAAGTCGTCACGTACGCTTTTGGGCGTTTTGCCCTTTAAGTGGTAAAGACGTTTTCGGCCGCTCTGCCCCGTAAAGGGTTAATATATGTTTTTTGTCGAAAAGAAGGTTATCAGTTTTTGAAATCTATTAGTTTTTTTACCATGCATTCCCATTAGCCCTTTCAAACCTATTTAATGTCAAAATTGGAAATAAACTTACATAAAAGTTACATTTTATCTGTGACTGTGTGAAAAAAAATGGACTAATTTTAATTGTATACTTACTTCTAGGAGGAAGAGCTGCAGAGGAAAGAAAAGAGAGAGAGGGCTGTATTGGAGCGTCGCTACAAACTGCCAGACACCCCATCTATACTAGTCCATCCATCTGCTACAGCCAAGGGTGGGAAATTTGACTGTTCTATTATGTCTCTCAGCTTGTTGCTTGATTATAGACCAGAGGACAATAAAGAACATTCCTTTGAGGTATGTGCTACTTGACCACCCCACCATAAGTTGATTTCTACTTGACATTCATTCCCATCCTGTGCCGTACACCCAGAAAAAAAAAGAAAATGGTTATAAAATATTGATGTTAAAATATTGCAACTGAAGTAGTCTAAATGAAAAAATGGATACCAGTACCATAATAATTTTGAGAACACACAATATAGCTTCTTATCTATTTCTAAGGTGAAACTTATTTTCTGAACCTACATTTACATTTTGTATGCACTGTAACCATGTTTCAGTTTTTTTTTTTTAAATGTAAATTTATCTTATCCCTGATAGATGTAAAATCCGTAAATATATAATTCAGGATAAAATAGTTCTAATAAATAGTGACATTTTCTTTAACAGGTTTCACTCTTTGCTGAACTTTTTAATGAAATGCTGATGAGAGACTTTGGTTTCCAAATTTACAAATGCATTGTCTGTGCCCCTCTGAAAAGGGAAGAAGATAAGAAAAGGGAAGATAAAAAGGATAAGGAAGACAAGAAAGAAAAAGAGGACAAAAAAGACAAAGATGAAAAAGACAGAAAAGATGAGAAAAGGAGCAAGGAAAAAAATGATGTACGTGCATTATTCGTTTTAATCAAATAGCTCTGCAGCAAACTTCAAATGGATGAAAAATTTCACTATTTACTTAAACATGGGATTATTATAATTTTAATAGACCTTTCCCTAAGGTCAATTAACCCAAACATTTTTGTTATAAGAAATAATACTTTTTTATTTTGTTTAAATTTTAGGAGCCAAGTCCTAAACGAAAGAAGTCAGATGAAAAGGTTTGTAATTTTTCTTTAAATTTTGATTTTCAGTTCAGAAATTTGGGGTGATCTTTAGTTCTGGACAACAGCCTAATAGTTTTTGTAAGTTCTCATGTAAGGTTTTATTTTCCAGGATGACCGAGATGAAAGGAGAGATAAGGAAGACATGGATGACAGCAGTACTTATGGAGATAGAGATGATGATGAGGTGAGATAACACAATAAGAATCAATCTTTAGAGTCTAATAAATATTTATTATTAAATCCCCAAATGAAATTGTTTTTGTTATACACAATTATAATATTATTAAATTTATTATAAATATTTTAAATTGAATCATTATATTACCCATTTATTCAAATGTACTCTGATAAATATTTTATTGTCATGAAAATACTCCAAATTATTAATATGAACTTTAATTGGTATATAAATTAATTAAAATTACATTAAAAGTTTAATTCAAAAGTTATTTAAAGATTTATTTATTTGAAAATCAATTGTACAGGTTAAATTGATCAAAGCAGACATAAATAACTGATAGCAAGGATTTGGAAATAATAAGATGGAAAAGGGACACATAAAAAACAAATTCTTAGTTATGAAACAAACATTAATTCTATGCTTTTCAAAGTAAAAGAGTTTAGTGATTCTTCTACTGAAAATGTCAAAATAAATTGTTTCTTAAAGATAAGCTGCAAGTGATAGACACCTAGATTTTGTGTAAGATATGGCAATACTATAACTTTAAGTAAAAAATGTAGAATGTTTTCAATGGAAATTAATATTCCTCTTTCTACTGTGATTTTTCTTAGATAAAAGTAAAATATTTAAGTATCCTAGCTACTCTTTCTAAAGCCCTTTAATTCATAAGCTGACGACCATCTCACTTATTTAGATAAAGCCTGAAAAGTGTATAATCCACTTGTGGTGGATAGAAGTTGTCTAAGAGTAGGTCCCTTCCGTATGGCCTCAGAAACAATGTAAGAGTCTAGAACTCTGTTGCCATCTCCTAGCTCCAACAAGGCTGATGTGTTGTGTCAAGTCAAGGAATTACGAGGCTGTTTCAATGTTCAGTTTTCTTTAAATATTAACCCCTTCATTACCGTTATTTTTTTTTTATTTAAAAAAATCGATATTTGCTGACTCGGCAATAAAAACTTTAGAAGAAATTTTCGTTTTTTTTTTCACCCTCTATCGGATTCGCTTTTTAACTTCTCTATAGATTAACAAATAAAAAAATATATATAATTGAAATATGACGTCGACGTGACGTCCTTGGTATTTCAGAAAATTTCTTTGCCTCTTTGTTATGACAACAATGTGACGTCCTTGGTAATTGAAAGTGGGCGATCGTGAAGTTGCATCGACATCATCTGTAGCGAAGTGGTTAATATTCTAGGTAAAACCACAGTCCACAACAAAGCCTAACCAGTAATAACTGGCATTCAAAATAGTAAATAAAGGCGCTCAACTCATCAAAACTCCAACTCATTAATTCTAACTCATTAATTCTAACTCATTAATTCTAACTCATTAATTCTAATTCACTCCTAAACCAAAAAGAACTATGTTCACTGTTGCTCACAAAAAATGTACACACTTTTTTCCAACATGCAGCCGCTGTCATCCATGGCTGAGATAAATTTAAGATTAATGGGGAAATAACAATAGGAAAAAAATAACATCGTTCACTCTCATATGATAAACATCACGACCTGATACATCAGAACTACGTCACGTAATCTGACTGTGACACCACTCATAAGCCAACCCCAATAAAACAGTAACCCAGTTTCAGCAAAATGGTACCAAAGAATATGTAGAATGCGATTAATGCTGGAGCTAAAAACTACTAGGTAGTGGCACCATCTTCTTCAGTTACTTTATTTTCATGTCATGCTTTTTAAACGATGGCATAAAGGTTTGAGTATTAAATGTTGAAATCAAAATTTGTATCCTCCTCATCCTCATGTCCCTTAGTCCTTGGACCGTTGGGGCGCCACAGATGACACGTGAACCATCCTCCTCCATTCCTCTCTGTCTTCAGCACTACGCACTGCATCGCCCAGTGTTAGTCCTGTCCACTCTTTGATGTTATCCTCCCATCTTTTTCTTTGGCTTCCTGTTCTTCTCCCTCCTTTTGTGGTGCCCTGCAATATTTCTTTGGCAAGCCCTTGTTTCCTTGTTACGTGGCCGTACCATTGCGTTTTTTCACAGTCACCAGTAGGTCATCGTACTCCCCAATCGCCTGGCGAACCCTTTCTTTCACTGTATCATTGGAGATATGGTCCCTATAGCAGATGCCAAAAATGCTTCTGAAGCATCTCATCTCCATCGCCTTTATTTTCCTTTCAAGATCGGCTGTTAATGTCCAGGATTCACATGCATACAGGAAAATGGAGAGGACTAATGAGCGCATCAGCCTGATTTTGGTGCTGGGGGCTATATTTTTGTCATTCCATATTTTCTTGAGCTTTTTAAGTGCTGTTGTAGTCTGCGCAATCCTGGACATCAGTTCGGGCTTGGAGCCTTCTTCTGAGACTATTGCTCCTAGGTATTTGAAGCGGCCAACAGTCTCTAATCTTTCCTCCCCGACCTTAATTTCAGTGGTGATGCCTGCGGTATTATTTGTCATCAGTTTTGTCTTTTCGGCACTGATTAGCATGCCGTAGGACGACAAGGTCTTATCGAGACGCTTTACCAGGTTGACTAGCTCTTCTTCGTTCCCAGCCAGCACGTCTAAGTCGTCTGCAAAGGGTAGGTCGGTGATTGTTCTGCCACCAATGCTGACTGTCCCTTCATGCGCTTCCAGAGCATCTGACATAATTCTCTCTTGGAAGATGTTGAATAGGGTGGGGGAGAGCAGGCAGCCTTGTCGTACTCCAACCGTGGTCTTGAACAATTCTCCGATATTTTTGTTGAGGAAGACTTCACTGGTGTATAACAGGACATTAAAACTTTGTTTTGTTTCAAGAAGAAAATAAATTAGATAAATAATTAAGTTTATTGAGGTTAGTTCAGATTTTTAAATAATATGGGACGAGCACATTAATAATGTGTGCTTCCATGCAAACAAGACTCTAGAGTTTCTGAGGCGAAAGCTGAATATTGGCAACTTAGTTGTGAAAGAAAAAACCTACAAAGTCATTGTTCGGCTGCTTTTAGAGTACGCATCTTCAGTCTGGTACCCATTCACTCAGAAGAGCATCGACAGGTTGGAGGAGATCCATCGACGGGCCGCATGCTTTGTCCTGAACCGCTACAGAAACACCTCAAGTGTTGGCCGCATGCTGGAAACACTGGGCTGGTCACCATTTGAGGAACCACGACAACTATCCAGGCTCTCTATGATTTACAAGATAAAAAATGGGCTGGTCTACTGCTCCATAATTTAACAGAAACTCACCCCTCTCCCCCCTGTGACAGTGACGAGGCCACAACAGGCAGTTCCGGCTAATAAAAACAAGAACTCAGTACAGGAGCTCCTCATTCCTTTCAAAGACAATAAGTGACTGGAACAAGCTTCCAAAAGCAACAGTTAAGGGATTACACTTGACACATTTGCATCTATTGCCTCCTGTCTTCCAACCCCCAGTTCATAATACCATTCCTGAGTAGCCCTTGAGTGAAGTATCCCCTTGAAAACCATGCACAGTTACATCGCGAACCCCTCTGAAACATAGGAGCCAGAATGATCAATTCATTGATCGTGGGCCCTAAAAATATAGAAGAAGAAGATATAGTAATGTTTTTGAATGTTGTAGATCAGTGTGTCCCAAATGGCTGTCTCTTGACTGGCATTGGTCTGCACAAGATAAATATTTATGGACTTATAAAGAACAATAATTAATAAATCTGGCACCCCTCCCTGGTGCAATGTCAAAAACGCTTGTCATGTGTATGGAAGATTAACTAGGCAACTTACAAAACAATTTCATTATTCAATGTACCTGGAGCAAATCACACAACTCTTCTATGACGCACACATAAACCCACAACCTGAAAATATATTACCATTATATATTTTTTCTTAAAGTCAGCTTTAGATGGAGTAAATACAATAAATGTGTTTATGAAATGGGTGATTAATTGATGTTGTTTATTCAGTTTTCTTTACCTCACCAGGATAGAGATGATGATGACAGAAGAGAGAAAGGTCAGCTTCAAATATAAATTAAATCATTTATATTTCAGATGATGTAAAATATCAAAATGTAATGAAACTTAACTGTGCATCTCTCATAATTTGTGATTTCTTCAATATAAAAATAGTTCAAATCATAATGGATAAGGGGAAAAAAATGGGCTAACATTTTATTAGTAAAAAGTATATGTTAACCAACAAGCTTTTTCTCTTACAGATGGGAAGAAGAAAAAGAAAGATGAGGAAAAGAAAATGAAGACAGTGGAGCCCCATTTATTGCTTGCATTTTCTTACTTTGATCAAAACCACTGTGGGTATCTGAATGACAAAGACACAGAGGACATCATTCACACTCTTGGTCTTAAACTGTCAAGGGCTCAAGTAAATAGCTTTTCATTTTTGATAAAGCTTTCATTACATTAAATAATTGTCGTAGGTCGTTGAATGAAATCTTTCAACCCTGAAATGGCTCCGACGATTTTAAATATATTCACTATATAAGTGATACAACAAAGAGGGCTTATTGGATGATTAGAACTGAATTGTTCACGCTTGTATCAAATATGAATTCACTTGGTTAGCTGCAAAGCTGGTAAGATTATTTGAATGATCTTCTATATTTGAATGATCTTCAGTTTATTAGTTAACATTAAGGAGGTAACCGCAGTTCTGGAGTCCTTCTATGCCACTACTTTTAACAGTTTGTATTAGTCCATTGAGTTGATTAGAGGTATAAAAGAAGTATAAACAATTGAAATATGAAATATAAATAATTTTCTTTCCATTAGATAAAAAAACTACTACAGCGAGTAGTACAAAAAGAGGCCTTCCATTATCGTCATTTGACCGACAGTGAAGTAGATGACAATGGTGTTCCAGTCAAACCAGAGGAAGACGGGACTGCCAATCCCAAACCTGAACTAGAGCACTTAGCTAAAGGTGAGAATTGTGCTCCAATACTTTTCTATTGAAGTGGGTCCTGTATTAGTCTCTAAAGTTGAGCTCCAGTATTTGTCTATGTCACATGGGGGTCTAGTGTATTATTCTGACCATTTAAAGCCTTTTTTTAAACAACTGATATTCTTCCATCAACATTTACTATAAAACTAATTATACATTAAGATTGGATTATTTACTTAGTGATGGTTTTCAAAACTGCAAGGGCATCTGCACCAAAATCTTAAATTACAATTAGAGATCTATATCTTTAAATCTTTTTTTTACAATTTTATTACAAAAAAAAAGAATTTAAAAAAATACTATCTGATGGCGTTGTTTGAAAAGAAGACATTATATTATTTTAATTGAAACATGTTAATGTTAGTCATTTAAAGATCATGTCTTGTCCTTTTAGGAAATAAAGAAAGCCTCCGAAAACTTCTTGAACTGTCTGGTGTCAAAACTGAGTCAACTTGTCAAAGTGCAGCTTCCTCAACAGTCAGTGACAGCGATAACCCCAACTTTGTGTACTACAGGGGAGCTTTGTTGGACATTGAGTCTTTAATGCAGCGACTGGATAGGAGTGAAAAGTCACGTACAGCTCTGGAGAAGAATTTGCAGGATCTGACTGAAGAGCTGAGTAAGTTGTCTTAAATTTGTGGTCTTATCGTGGCACAAGACACGACGTGGTGGTCCGAGGCATGGGTTTGTTAACTTAATTTTTTGGGTTAATTTTGAGATTTAAGAAAGTATCATTTTTGTTTCAGAAACTGTGAAAACAAATTTACAGGAAGAAGAGAATACAAGCTCTAAACTCCAACATGACCTGCGTAAATTTCGAACTGAATTAGACAAGGAAAAGATGTTGTACAATGCTGCTGAATCTCTGAACAAGGAGTGGCATAAAACAGCCAGTGAGACAAAGTAAGATTGAATTATTGGTGTAAGCCTGTACAGCATTAAATACTTTATGGTTAAATAGAGATCTTTTATTAAAGATTTGTTTCAAATTGTAAAGAGAGGTTTTTAAGAATTTGAATGTTGATTATTTAGCAAAATTCATATTTGCATAAACTTTTGGAACTTAATATTGATACCTGTTATTTAATACCTGGAAGAATGATGTGGAAACAGAATCTTTATGTTAGGCATTTAATACCTACAAAAATAAGGGGCGAATAGAATAAAAATAAATTTTAAGCTTCTTGCCTTCAGTTATTTGAATTTATTCCAATATTTGTGTGTGGATTATTAACAATCAATGTTCAGCCAAGTTCAACGACTATTGACTTTGAGTTTAATTAAACACTAATAGTTGCTATGGCTAGACATTTGCTAGCTCAAATTTTTGTGACTATATCACAAAATAAAAAGATGTGGGAGATTGTCGAAAAATAATTACACTAAAACCTATAACAATATATATGTGACTTTGATTATTATTATAAATTCTTTGCGATGTTAAATTGATGATCATAAATTCAATTAACAAAAACATTCTGTTTTTATCAGATCCTTCATGATGAGTGCATTAACCAGCATTAATACGATGTTGAACAAAGATGAGAGCAAATCAAAGTCAGATGACCACAAGTTAAGAAATGATGACCACAAATCTCGCAACGACGATCACAAGCGGAAAGATGTCAAAAAGGAGTCAGAGGATAAAGAAGTAAAGCAGGAAATAAAAAAAGACAAGGAAATTTTTTAGAAAATTTAATTGTATTAATGCTACTTCCCAGCTCACTTCTGTCATAATGCTTTAAATAAATATCTTCAGTTTCAACAGGAAGGAGTCAGATTCATGTGATGGAATTCATATAAGATTTTAAAATGTTATTATTTAAAAGTGCTCACAGGTTTTCATGAACATTTTTAAAAAGAAAGATATGTAGCATCGAGTATTTAGATTATTGTGGCATTATCTTTAGGTAGAACAGATTATGTTGGTCCTGGCAATCAGTCTCTATTTGATTTTAGTGAAGCGTTTCTTATTTGACCCCTAGAACAAACAGTATCAGAGCCCATAGCCTAGTAACTCACTTTATTGTTGCTTGTATAATTTTTAGGATTCCTAAAAAAAAAAAATTCCCTGTGAAATAACCATTTTTTTATAAAACCGTTCCTGAGATGATTATCTTACTTAAGACCTTTTATGAAAATCTTAAACATTTTTTTCCCATTAATTAAGATTCTAGGCATGTTCATTTTAGTTTTAGTTTTGAAATTTTTATAAAATTGAATTTTATTTATGTATGTGATTTAATTAATGAGCTCATGTTTTTTTGAACCAAGTCTGCAAAGGTTCTCATTAGATATTTCATAATGCGCAAAAATAAAAGTTTTTAAAAAAATTTAAAGTTTAATACTAAATATATCAGATGAGTATAGTAATTGTACACTTAACTGTTACAGTAAGGTTTGCAATGATTAGTTAACAATAGATGAGCTCATTGTGAGACCATTGCATGGTTTATCAATTAGTGGTAGCATTTTGCCAGGACATCCGGTGAACTGTGAAAACTCTTATCTCATTTTGAGCCAAATAATCATTGTCATGTTTTGATGGTAAGACTGTCATGTTGGCAAAATAAGAACGATTTCTCATATTTGTAAATGCTACCAAACATAGTCTTTATAAATGCTTCAAACATAGAGATGATCTTTGAAGCTTTAGAGATACTTCCATTTTCCGTCTTGAAAAAATTACTGAAATTCTTAGAAGGGCTTTACAAATTAAATAAGTCTTTTAAGAGCAATGTTCAAACAAATCTTATTAGATGCAGTATAGTATTAGTGCCATTTACCCTGGAGTTCATTTTTTTCTTTCTGTAAATGCCAAAAAAACCAAACCTATTTGATATTCATATTAATATTTAAAAATTGTGCGCTTTATTACGCTGAAGCTGTACAACTGGGGTTCTAAACATTTTTGCAGCGCTGTACCCCCTCTTGATTTCAAAACATTTCCTGGATCCCCATCTCAACATCAATAATATTTCCCTCACCCCCACAATAAAAATGCAAATAAACCTAATGTTTTTCTGGGTCTTTCCACACCCCACTACACTGCCTGGTTAAAAATCCCTGCACTGCAAGTTTCATGAGCACGTCCAGAGAACAATGTCAATATAACTAGATATTGTGTCACTGGCAACTGCCCAAATGTTTAAAAAATTGAACTCTAGTTCAAGTATGTTAGGATCTTAAACCTTGTTACCAAATTGTTTGATCGATATTGGCTTGATACCCAAGCTTTAAAATTAGATTTCAAATATCATATAGACACAGTATATTGGTCCCATGATTTTATCATAACAAGGATGGGCTTGATTTTATTTTACATTGTTAATTAAAAATGTGTGTTCAACCTTTTCCATTATAAATTGGTTTAATTTGTGGGAAGTTCTGTAATGTTTTTATGTTAATGTCTGCTCACTATGTACATCACAAGTATAAATGCCAACCTCATTGTTATCAAACTTAGAAATGACTGATCATGATTTTGAGTGTGTTACATTGAAGTATAATGCCTAGTTGGATTAATCTAATTCTATTTTGCCCTTTCCACAGAAATGTTTAAGAATTTCATTTTACTTGTAATGTGTGAAACTGAAATAGCCAAGAGTGTGAAATTTCAAGGTTTAGAGATGAATAGAGATGATTTGACAGATTGTTAGTGTTTATGTGTGATCAATAATTATGTTCGTTATTCAATAAAACATTTCCCAAAATATTTTCTCAATTTGTTTTGTTTAAATTTGTAATTTTAACCAAGAACTATTTAACCAAGAACTATTTAACCAAGAACTATTTAACCAAGAACTATTTAACCAAGAACTATTTAACCAAGAACTATTTAACCAAGAACTATTTAACCAAGAACTATTTAACCAAGAACTATCTACTTTTTCAGAGCAAATTGAAAACAATTTTTGGGTTACAGGTGTTTTGTTTTATCTAAAGTTGATAAACGCAGTGAAGGACATTTTCTACTCAAGATCTTTCATGATGATTGCTTCTGTAGTTTAGTTGCCATTGTAAATTTAGTCTTTTCCTTCCTTATATAGAAGTGCTGTGCCGTGAATCAAACATTCATTTGGTCCTTGTGCCATAGGGCACTTGAGGCTGCCAAAGAAGCCATTTCAGTATCAGGATGTAGTATAACATTATTCACCTTAAGTCAGGGATTGCTATCATATGGTCCTACAAAATTAAATCTAACAAGTTAAACATTTACCAATACAGCTACCAAAATAAAGAGTACTACAAAGTAAACCATATTCAGAACATGAGCACGCATTCATTTTCCCAGTCATAAATTTTGTCCACTCAATTTCTTTTTTTCTATTGAATTTTGAATACTCCAGGGGTTTCCAATGTGTGTGCTAATTATTACAAAATTTTATTTCAACTTTCAATTAAATATGATTGGGATTATGGGATGCAACATCTAGCAACCTGTATCATGAAAAAATAATTGTGGAGCAGAAAATATAATGGCTACGTGTGCAGTTTCATTTTATAATTTGAGAAAATGTGCAGTGATCAACAGGCTCATCCACACAACTAAAATTACAATTTGATCATTTGTTGAAATTATATTTTTTTGTGAAATTATATTTTAAATACATATGGTTATTTTTACCTAACCGTTTAATTAAAAAAAATTCATTGCTATTTCATGAGCACCTAATAATAACTTGACTTGGTACCTAAGGAAAACCTAGTTTAATCAAAAGCACAGATTTTTTTAAAACTCTCTGAACTGCTGCATTACTCTATTTATTGAATTAGTCTCCCTCAATTAATCAAAATAAAATTAAGATTCCAAAGCATTTTTTTGTGTGTAGTTTTCCCCATCCGTGATGTCGGTATGACCTGGTGAGAATGTCAGTTTAATAATAAAGATCAATGTTACAGACATTTCCGTGTTATGATTCTGATGACATGTCTCTTGGATTCCTCTGACAAAAACGTACACTTGACTTAATTATTTAGAGCATTTACCCAATGAAAAAAAATCCCCAGACAATTAAAAGTAAAATTAAACAGGTTTGTTTCCAGGTTTAAACTAGGACAGAACAACCATCACAAAAATATCAAATGAACACTTCAAATTATCACTATCCAACAAGCTTTAATTCATTTAGTATATAGATTTGGTTTCAAAAGTTTGTACACATTCAAGAACATTTATTTCAGACACTGGTATATAAATATTTAATGGCAATATGTTTCTTTCATTCATCATAAAGAATCAAATTTTTGAAAAAATATTCAATTTATATACAATTTTATCTATCAAGTCCCATACAAAACCAACACAAGCAGACATTAATACAGGACCGTGTATAATACATGACGAATGCAGTGAGACATATCAGACACTCAGAAGTCTGGTACAGTCTGTAAATGCATGTAGTGTGGTACAGTCTGTAAGTCTATGCAGTGCACTACATGCTGTGATCACCAGATTCAGCAATGTTTATTTTGTACAAAGGCATTGGCTGCACTTTGGCACAGCTAGTTAGTATTTGTGAGAAAACTTCCTTTCACTGCACTGTCAAATATTTCAATTGTAATCATGATGATTTTAACAACTTCCACCCACCCTACAAAACCAAAAGAACTTTATTAGATCACTCCTAAAACATGCTTAAATTAATACAAATGTGAATTTTAAAACACCCAATTATCTAGTTCTTGATTACTTAAATGAAATACATAATTTTGGGGGGAAATATTTACATACAAGATGACTTTAAAATGTCATTTCTTTAAAAAAATTATTTATTGTCCTGTACGCTTTGATGTTTAATAAGATTTAATAAGTTTCTCCTACATTCTATTAATTATTCCCAAGTTTTAAAGAGTTCCATTATTAAAGACAGATGAGTTGTCTTATTACTATATAACTTGATGAAGTGTTGTGTCTCTTTATTTCCTCTTGTTTCCTCCACCAGCCAACATCATTGCAATCCTGATGAAGATATTCAGTGCATCTATGTAGATGCTGATACTCCTGCAAGTGAAATCAGTTGAAACATTAATTTCTGTTTATTAACAGAAAATAGTTAAGCATAAGCATTAGTTGGTGTAACTCAGCATTTATTACTTTTTAAGAAATTTTGACATATGCAATGAATTAAGTCTTTCATTACTACCAACTTTTTTTAATAGATATGTTTCCGTAATAATTAGGTCATATATAAAATAAATTATCCCAAAAAACATACGCATTAACTGGATCAAATGGCCGTCCATAATTGGAAGAATCTCTGTTTGCCTCAGCCGCCCTTACAACCCGCTGTGTGTCATAAAGTAAAAACAAGCTGAACAGCACCAGGCCTCCATAAATACTAACTGAATACAAGCTAGCACCAAGTGCAGTGGTTGGTGGGAAAAATGCAGATCCTAAACAAAGAGGAATAGAAAATGAAATATTCCCAGGACCAAAATTCAACACTTCCTTCCAAAGAAAAATATTCTTTCTGATGCATCACACAAAAATGTGTTACTAATTCCAAAGGTGACAACAGACATTAGTGAGATAAGAATTGAATAATATATGGGATAGATAGAAGTCAGTTGTTGTTTTTTGGGGGTGGGGGGCATATTAACTTCTATTCAAAGATGCTCTGTCATTGGAGTACATCATAATTTAAACAATTTAAACAAAAATTTTGTTAACACATTTGTGTACATTGCCAATAAATTATGTGACATTTTTCATTGTGAATTAAAGCTAGCAATCTGTACACTTTTTTTGGGGTAACTTTGGTAATATTTGCTGTTGGATTTTTGAAGGATTGGGGTACTATGTTTATATTTGCATGGGGAGTGGAGCATCCTTTCTTTTTCACTAGACTCTTAGTCTAAATGCTGTATTTTTAATATCATTTGTCTTCCTTTGTTTAACATTACGAGTGGTCATTTTTTTTACTGGATATTATTTTTTCACTATGTAAATGACATGGATAATTACAACAGATAATCTGTATAATTTAATCATAAGTACAATTATTAAGCCAGCAGTGAACACAAGCAAATCTGACTGACTGATTGCTTCAAAACAACTCTCTTACCTAAAGATGCCACAAAAACTACGCCCAGGCCAGCACCAAGCAAACCACCCATGTTCAGAAACTTGTCACTGGGAGCACACATTGCGACTGCTGACAAGCCTACGGATGATTTTAGTCATTTATAATTATATAGACAATAAATGTTAAACATGGAATCTTATTATGATAATTGTAGATCAACAAAAACTCAAATCTCACTTAAACTGTAATTAAACTACATAAATAAGTCTAAGATTTTTACCTCCCACAACACCAGCTGTATACCAGGCAGCCCTCATTAACAAAGGTCCACCAAGGAAAGTCAATGGGGCCACAACAGCTCCCATCACACCGACATGTAGCAGCCATGTCAGCTGTTTTGCACCCAATCCACGCTCATATGGAATTGATCTGCACAATATACCTGTACCAATCATGGCAGCAAATGTGGCACCAATGGACTGAAATATATATTGATAGATAAAAACATATATATTGATAGATAAAAACAAGGAAGTGGCTATTCGTACCCGGGTACCAGAAGTGAGAGGTTGGGATTAAAAAACTATTTAAAATATTATTGTTTGGTTTGTAAGACAAAATGAGGATTCAAAGGCTAATATAACTTTTTAAAAGTTGCCTCATTTAAAATAATTTAACAATTGTCAAAGCTATAGTCATTATCCCGTTGCCCATTGGGATCCTTCACAGTATTGGATCCCCTTCCCTGTTTGGACCTTGTTCGCAAAGGGATACCATTCCATGAATTACACTTAAAGCTATCCCTTAGATAGGGGTCAACTTTGGCTGAGATCCATTCATACACATGGAAGCATCTACTGCAATCCAAGCCTTCAACTTCATTTACATATGTAGTGTAGGCCATAATAAGACAAAATTTATTTGGAACTGTCTTCCAGAAACTTTCAAAATTATTTAGAATCTGTTTTCGTAACATTTGAGGAAACTCATTTAAAGCTATAGAAACATAACATGGACATTTATATAATGCTAATAAAGTTATAGAAAAAATAATAGCCTTCTGGATTAATGATAGAAACTTTTTAAAAAAAAGACAATTTACAGATACTGAAAAAATCCCAAGGAAAGTATAGAAATCTATAGAATTAAACTAACATTTCCATAAGCTTTTCTATCCCAATATATCTCCCTGTGGAACAATAGACAACTTTCTGAAACATTCTATGTTTCATTTAATTACACAATCATTTTGGAATAAGAAAAATTTACAGCAAAAGACCATAGCGATAAGTTAACCCGTTTTTAGCTATAAGTTAACCAGTTTTCATTAAAGTTAACAGAGGTGCCTTGGTGGGGGCCCATTCCCCCATTCCATTAGATGCAGTTTTAGTTATGCCTAAGATAGTGGGCCCTATAAGGATCCTTCAGATAAATAATGGTTAAAATGTAAAAATTATCCCATTAAAATCAGTTGAGAAACAATGGCGGCTAGCCTTTTAAATTATCAAACATTTTGGAAAATTCTAGACCAGCCTTGAATAGAGTGTTTAGTATGACTTTTAAATACACTTATATTTCAATTGGATTATGAAGGTATGGCAACCAAGCGGTTTGATGATTCATGTAGAGCCCTATTTTGTTGTCTAATCCTACTGCTATCAATTTAGCTTATATGAGGAAAAATTATAATAAGGCCTTAAGCCCCAGAGGAGTGGATAATATGAGTTCAGAACCCATCTGTGTATGAATCTGGATAATTAAGTATATGTGTACCAAGTTTGGTCAAGATAGATCCTTTCATGCAGGAATTTAGTTTAAGACATTTAAGTTTCTGATTTTATTGGTAGTAAAATACTTTAAACTATAAAGCATTTTCTTTACTAATCAGCTACATTTCCAAACGCATAAAAATGAAACTCACCAAAAGAGAGTTGCTCATCATAAAATTCATGAAAGCTGGACTACGACTTGCAGCCACTGCAGTAATCGCTGTGAAGGCAATGCTGCCAGCAAAATACATGTACGTGTCTCTGATACGATGTCGAACTGACTTTGGCCAAATCCTAAAAAGAACAGAATTTATTATCAAATTTGGGAACAAGAAACAAATGCAAGTAAATATTTTAAAAAATAGATGGAAGTAATAGCTAATTTAACATAAAGCAGCTATTACATTGGTCTCTTGGTGCCAATCAACTTGAGCAAGAAGATATGGGCTCAATTTTTTACAAAACCCTGATTAAAAAAATCATCTTGGTATGGGATAAAAGAAACTGTTACAGTAGTCCATTCACTTAAGGTAAAAAATGCAGGAATAAATATTTGGAATGCAAAAAAAAAAAAAAAGTTATAAAGTAACAGTAGATGCTTAGATAACACAGAATACTCACACAGCATGTTCAAGAGCTCCAGGTGAGCTGGACAGTCCAAGACCATAAAAACAAAGAGCTCCTATTCCGATTGCTGCACCTCCAGCTACAAATCCCTTTCCAATGTTGAATGCTTTATTATAAATAGGATATGAAAGAAAAACGTATTAACAGTTTTATTGAATATTTTTTGTTATGTAAAATTGTACATATTCACCAGAGTGACTAACTCTTGGCAGATGCAATTTTTTCTGAACCATCCAATTTCTGAAAGGCTTTTATTTTAAATATATATTTATTGTTGGTTTACAAAAAAAATCTCAATGCAATTAGTTATTTTCTAAACCCTCTATGAAGTACTTGGGCTAAAGCTGGAATACTTTGATTGATCAATTCTTTTATGTTATGATGATTATAACACTTTTCAGGCCAAGGTCATGGACCAAAATGGCTACTAGATCAGGATGATGATTATCATAGTTTGCCTCCAAAATTAATTAACTGTAACAGAGCATTAAAAACAATACCTGCTCCAAAGTCCCTGGATAAGTAATTAAATGTATAAATTTCTGTGCATTGAAAGGGAATGACTTGTGATATGCATTATTCAATTTTGGTTGACCTTAAAGGGACCCCCCCCCCCACCCACACCAGCCATGGTAACAGAAATATGACTTCTTAAAAGTTTAATCCATCCATCCCTGTGTCACTACAGCCTCTGTAGGGCTTTGGCCTGCCTCACCACTTCCTTCCACTCAGACCTAACAAATGCTCTCTATTCCATGCTAGAATTCCCAACTGCTGTAGATCCTTTTCCACATCCTCCATCTAAGCCTAGGTCTGCCTTTCAGCTGTTTTCCCTCTGGGGTTTTGTTCGTGCACCTTCTTCCCTCCTCTGTCATTTGGCAATTTTTCTAAATGTCATGCCCAGCATAGCCTGCCCTTTTTTATTTCTGCCACTGGGGTGGGATCCTGATATAGACTATACAATTGCTGGTTGGTTCATATTCTCCATCCATTTTCATCCTTTGTTGGTACATATATTTTCTGGGGAACTTTTCTCTCCCATGTGTTTAATAAGTTTTCTGCTGTTTTTATTAGGGTCTATGTTTCACTTGTTACAACTGGTCTGATCATAGATTTATAAATAGTTTTCTTTGTATTTCTTGTAAATTTTTTACTTTTGAGTATTTTTTTTAAAAGGGAATTACGCCCTGTTTCTGGAAGATACTCGTTCTAGGTGACTTGGTCTTTAATCTGAAATAAACTCATATCTAAATAAATAACAGCTTACGAGTGTCTGTTGAAGGTGACATTAAAGATTCCTTCAAAGTCTTTCTTTTTGCAAATCTTCCTAAGCCAATCCTACTTTCTGTGGCATACATTTGCAATTTTGAATAAACTGTGGAAGGGTTAGAAGGACGCTGAAAAACTGTAAGTCGAATTGAGCTGGATAAACCAGACATCAGAGGAGTTTTGCAGCACGACAATCTGCTGAGAGCCATCTTGAAACCTATTTAAAAGAAAATTAATTAGTTCTTAAGCTTAAAAATTAGAAAAAACCCTCGACAAAACCAACTTCTATAATTTAAAAAATTTTATCAAGGGAAAAAAATTCCTGGCAAATCTGTGCCCCCCCCCCCCCAGCATATGCTTGCTTTTATCAGAAAACCAAATTAGTTCTTAAGCTTAAAAATTAGAAAAAACTCTCGACAAAACTAACTTCTATAATTTAAAAAATTTTATCAAGGGAAAAAAATTCCTGGCAAATCTGTGCCCCCCCCCCCCCAGCATATGCTTGCTTTTATCAGAAAACCAATGTGGAAAAAATGTTCTACTTTCAGTTGTATTTTAACTTCGGACAAATAGTCTCGGACTCTCTCACCTGAACTTTGATAAACCAAAATGGTGAGTACTAAATGAACTACTTTTAACAATGACATGACAACTTTGTTCCCATGGTGCACTAATAAGGGAAATGAAATGATGATGAAGTAGGGCTCTTCAAACACAATACATGGCCCATATCATATGCCTAGTAAGGATATATTTTAAACATTTTAAGTTATTAGGCTTAGGTCTTTTCATTTCACCTCGCAAAATTGGTTTAAAACTCATTTATAGTCTAAGAGTTACAGCAATGTTTAAGTTACTAACTACGTCTTGGACTTGGTCTTAGTTATTTGGATTACTATTCTATTTACTATTGGCATTGTCTACATGTCCGGCGATCGGACAATTCAAATAGTGCAGAAAATATTCATCAGGCAGGCATGTCATGCTTTATTTAACAGTCACTTTTTAACCATTTCTTCATCATAATGTATTATATAATATATGTGAAAACATGAAAATAAATTGGAGTTATTAACAATAATAGTAGGATAGTTATTTTAACTTCAACCCTAATAATAATAATATTACACAGGCCACACAATTTTCTAAAGAAATAAAGGAGAAATGATCAGTTTGTCACTCATTAAAAAATAAGTCCTTTTGCTATTGATATTGGCAACATTTATTCATTTTTTAAGCAGCCCTTTTTTTTTTTACACAACCATGTTTTGCTTGGGCTTGGTCGCCGGATGAATATCTCGAAAACTTTTTCGTCAGGTTGCCAGACATGCAGACACTTCGAACTTATAAGTTATATAATTAGAGGATGATGTAATAATGATCATAAATGATAATCATAATGATAATGAGGATGGACCTAACCTATCCTCACTTGCCTTTAAATATTAATTTAAATAAATGGCCATAAATGCATAAAAATGTGTGTTTTTATTAAAAAAATTATATTTATTTCACACTGTTAGTAATGAAATTATAGCTACAGACTTAAGTTATAACCAAATAAATGATTTTTACGGCTCATGAATCTTTAAACACACTTTAATTAAATATTTCATCACATTCTCATCTCATTGATTCATTCATAATAATAATATTAATATTCATACTCATTCTCATTCATGATTCATACAAATACTTTTTATACTAAACTGGCTATTTAATTGACTTGGGAGTATCGGTAGTTATTTCAATTACTACTTACTTGCCTGATCGAAAACGTTTAAACTTAATTTTAAAGCATGGCAAAATAATCTAGTATATAAATGACAAACCACTTACGTCTTGGTAACTCTAGTTTATAAAAATACTCCAGAAAGTCGAAACACTCTCATGTAGAATTGTTCAGTTTCTGAATTACGAAACCCTTTTTTTCTATGACGTAAATAACTACGTACTGTAAATACTTCGCACTAAAAATCTTCCAGATTTTTCTAGATATTTATGTACGTATTTTTACGGCTCAAATAAAATTTAAAATTAATAATGGCTAAGTTAAATAATATATAAATTCAATTTAATGTGTGGTAAGAGTTCATTTTGATTATTATTAGATTGAACTTGAAAGAATTATACTGTGGCATCAGTTTTAACAAAAATGAGTGCATTTCTTTCGAGTTTTTAACGATAACATATAATATGTCAGTCAATGCGTAAGATGTCACCTTATAAATGAAAGGTCGAAATGTTGCTATAGTTAAGAACAAAAAATGCCGCCCTTAAATAATAAACAAATATCCAAGCATTGAAAATAATTTTGAAATGCACAGCTTCAACGTTTCATGATTCCTGTCAGTCAAAATAGTTTTCCACATAACTCTGATTAAAGTTAAAGAAAGCCGATTCAAATATTCAATACTACCGGACCGGTATGTTGAACTAGCATATAATTTTCTAATTCATATTTGTCCGAAGACAAATGAGTGACATTTCCTGGCTTAAATTTAGAATATCAACATAAAATGGATTGTGGAAAGAGCTAAAATATTGCTTTTTACTTGTTGAAACCAAGAAAGTTCAAATTTTGCGGACAGTACTTTCAACTGGGTTCCATAATGTCGTAACTCCACTTCAAAAGATACTTATTTCTTATTTCATTTAGAAAACGGCCCCAATTTTCAAAGTTGGTCGAAATAGTTTTCTCAATTTGAGCGTGAAAAAGCTTTTACTTTCAACGTGAGTTCTCAACATGTTGAGCTCGAAGTCAGATTATCATTTCTTTGTCCCGAATCTTCACGTTGAACTTATTCAGATGAGATTAAATATCACACACAAATGTAAATAGCACCGTGAAGGTGGACTCATAATGCCAGCAAATTTTTCTGTCTGATAGTTTACAATAAGAAATTTATGACTTCAACTTTTTTTTTACAGCAAAGTGTAGGCAGGAAATTCTATTACTAAGTAGCAGCCAACAGACCGGTTTTAATCTATGCATTTAATGATTACTTGCCCACCTGAATGATTAATTTAAAGCATAATGAAGTTTGGAGAAAACGGATATTTTAAGAATAAGTTTAAATCTTACATAACGGATAGAGAGGGGCGTCATTATTATTTTGTTTAAGTTTTCCGCCCCTTGAAGAAATGCCACCCGACGTAGCCGCCTATGTAAAGCCTATATCACTGATTTTTTATCACCCAGACCAGTCGGCCACAAATCGGTTTTGATTCTGAAAAAACGTGGTTCTTGAAAAAAAAATGTGGCTCTCAAAATAAATGAATAATCCTGCTGCTGATTTTTTGGTTCTTTTGACTATTGAGTGTCACAGAACGGTTGTTACGGAGGAGGGCTCCGGTCCTGACTTATCACGAACTGTGTTGACTTAGTAGTGTTCAGTACAGGACCGGTCCTCTCTGTGATTTATATGGTGGGTGCCTAGGCGTTGAGACAGACAAAAGCACAACGTAGACTTGGACGAAATGCAACAACTCAAAAATCCAGGTGTCCAACGATAATGAAAGTGTGTTTATTTCTAAGATATAAGTTCTTCTAGTCATCTGTCGTCTCCTGATCTCTAGCGACTATTCCCTAACAACTGCTCAATTCTATCGTTGCTCTTTTCTCTCTCTTCCTCAGCTACGTCGTAACTCTGTTCCCTCTTCCTCAACTAATCCGTAGTTCTCCTCTATCTTTCTCAACTAACCTTAACTCCGTGAAAGGTCTGTCTTATATGTGATTCTCTACCCCCATAGGTGGTCCAGGAATGCTATCTATAACCACATCCCTGCCCCTAATTTCCGGACAATTAGAATTTCCCGTCGTTAACCCAACAATTATCATGCGAAGTCAGGAAGGCCCGAACACAATATTATCGAAAGAAACAATCCCCTCTATCTCAAGATGGGAGAGTCTATTAACCTTAACTTCACCCCCTACTCTGACAATGCCTTCCCTAAAATAACAGCAACTTCCGGCCATCCTATAAGTTATCTTAACCACAATGGAGCTCTGTCCTGTACCCGTGCCCCAGTTCTTTGTGACAATGAGTTTGCTGACCACTGGATTAGACCTAAAGATGGTACTGTTGATGTTTTTCGTGGGTGTTGGCAGTAACCAGTGGCGTGGTTAGTGGGTCGTAGGGGGGGGGTCCGCCGCGGGCTGCACTTATTGTTCTTAATGTAGATGGTCGGCATTTTCGGCCAACATCCACTTTGTGACAATGAGTTTGCTGACCACTGGATTAGACCTAAAGATGGTACTGTTGATGTTTTTCGTGGGTGTTGGCAGTAACCAGTGGCGTAGTTAGTGGGTCGTAGGGGGGGGGGGTCCGCCGCGGGCTGCACTTATTGTTCTTAATGTAGATGGTCGGCATTTTCGGCCAACATCAGACTATTTTCGTGGAAAGGGTTTGGGCGACAAAAGCTATAGATCCCCCATCCCCCCACCGGTGGCCCTATACATCATAATAGCTACGCCATTGAAAGTAACATTAAAACATTTAAGCAATCAAACACATGCAAGTGAACTATGTGAATGTGGGGGCCTCTTGAGGCATGGTTGGTGCAAAGAATGATCTAAGGGCAAAATAAAACAAATCAAGATTCATAGCAGAAGGGAAGTATTGAACAAAGGGAGGTGACTACACGTTTTTGTTGCCTTTTATTTGAACTTGACTCGAGTGGGATTTGTTTTTGTTATTCTTTGCCTTCTATGAGCTCATCATTTAATTTTTCATCATCATCGTCATCATTATGTTCCCTAAGTCCTTGGACTGTTGGGGCGCCACAGATGACATGAAAACTATCCTCCATTCCTCTCTGTTTTCTGCACTTCACACAGCGTTATCTTCCCATCTTTTTCTCTGTCTTTCTCTTCTTCTCTCCCTCCCCCCCCCCCCCCCCCTCTTTGTGCCCTGCATGATTTCTTTGGTGAGCCCTTGTTTTCTTGTCACGTGACCATGCCATTTCCAGTTTTCACTTTTTTTTTTTACAGTCACTAGGAGGTCATCGTACTTTCCAATTGTTTGATGAATCCACTCTTTCACCTGTTCATTTGAGATATGGTCTCTATAGCAGATGCCAAGAATGCTTCTGAAACATCTCATCTCCATCGCCTTGATTTTTCTATCAAGCTCTGCTGTTATTGCGTTCACTCAAACCCATCGACATGACCTTGATTCGTGGGAGACACTTGCTACGGAGCACACAAGCTGGCGTGGCAGACTCACTGTCGGAGCACAATCCTCAGAGAACAAAGGAAGCCCACAGCAAGGAAAAGCAGAATCGACTCAAATCCAAATAGGACCCAAACAAAGTGAGTCCCACGTGCGGGAAAGCTTTCCAAGAACAATAGGACTGGCTGACAACCTGCTTTCTCACCGTGGAATATAGCATTGGTCATCTTAATAGGCCATCTGCTTACTGACAGTGGAATATAGCACTGGTCATTTTCGCATGTGATGGACGAACAACAACAGGTTTCTGTCAACCTAGAGAGTCGAAATTTCATACCGCGGTCCAGTTTGGTGTACTAAGTTTGACTCCTCGATTGAGTTCCCTTCTCTAAATTTCTCGTTCTCTAAGAAAAAACACAAAAAAAACACAAAAACAATAGGCGATGAAATATTGCATGCATCAACATAAAGACAAAATAAAAATTTAAAAAAAAAAAAAAAGAAAGTGAGAGAGAGAGAGACAACTTTTAAAAAAGCGTTGCATTTTCAAAAAAAGGAGTTAGGTCCCATTTAAAAGCGTTATACAATAAACTTTAAAAACACATGCTATCTAAAACATATTTTTAAAAAGGGGTTATAGCTGTGCAAGGCTAGTGGCCAATTTTTTTTTATAAATGAAAAAAAAAAAAAAAAATCCAAAAGACTTAAAAATAAGTCCATTTCGTTCTTAGTGGAGCTACGCAGTTTTATAAATTTTTTTTGGATGGCTTGAAAGTGAGAATCGTACTTCGAGTTTCACACATTTATGTTAGCGATGTTTGCTATGCGAAATTTGTAACTGTTACCATGTTTAATTAATCAGAGAGGATGTTTTCTGCATTGAAACGTGTCTGAGATGTTCACGAAAAAGTCTTCCGTGGACATTTTATACGGCCCTTAATCCAAATATCAACTGCCACCTAAAAACAAAAACATTACGAAAAAAAAACACAAAAAAAAAAAAAAAAAAAAAAAAAAAAAAAAAAAAAAAAAAAAAAAAAAAAAAAAAAACAACAACAACAACAACAACAACAAAAATAACAAAGAAAACTGTTTATAAAACTGTCATGAGACCGGTTACCGAAATTTGATCAAAAGAAATTTCGTCGACGGAAAATTGATCGGCGGAAATTTGATCGAACTGAAATTTGGTCTTTTCTTCAGTTCACACGTTAAAATTTTCGTCAAATTTCTTTTTGAACGCACCATACTATGTAGTAAAACAAACTAATGCGTTCATAAAGAAATTTGAATCAAAATTTTAACTAAAACCCCAGAGGAAAACAGCTCAAAGGCAGACCTAAGCTTAGATGGAGGATGTGGGAAAAGATCTACACCAGCTGGGAATCCAAGCATGGAAAAGAAAAGCATCAGTTAGATCTGATTGGAAGGAAGTGGTTAGGCAGGCCAAAGCCCTACAGGGGATGTAGCGCCCCACAGGGATGGATGATTCATCCAAAATTTGATTCAACTAAGGGGAAAAGGATCACTCATCGCATGTTACAATTATTTGATATAACTTCTTTTAGTTAAAGTTAGAAAATATTGACCGCGTGACTTCTAAACAGTGATAGCAGTATTTATAACCTTGAGATTCGATAAGCCGATTAGAACTGACATTTTTAAAGAGAGATAACTCAACATCTCTTTGCCCTGCATTCATTTCAAATATTTAGTTTTTCACAGATATCGGCGAAATAACTAATAACTCACACATGCATCACCAGCGAGTTTTGTCACTTTAAAAAA